CAATACAAAATTTCATAGCAGTAATTAAAATTTTGGATGGACGGGGGGCAGTGTTTCTTTGTCTCCGTTCTCCGCTGTTCCATTATGATTTTATGTCATTATAAGCGAGAAAAATAAGAATGAAACCAACAAATAACCCTCCAACCTTTTATTTTATATCTCTGGTTCGAATTTATTTGCAGACTAGGTTTGTGCTATTTCGTGTTGTTTATGGGATTTTAAGTTACGAAAAAGTATAGTGGATTTGTTTCACCACCATGGAATCAGTTGTATCACCATGGAAAATCGAAGACTTCCTGGAAGTTATTGAGTGTGCAAGAAACTAATATCAATTTTGTTTCCTGTTCAAAAAATATTTTAGCCTAGTAGCTAAGTACTAGCAAAGCATAATTTGAAGCTCAATTGCCAAAGGTTGCTCTTCCTGGCATAATGCCCATAGCTGAAAGACAATCCCTTAGTGCACTCTAGTCTCGAGAAGTACAGAGGATACTTGCCAACCTTAACCTTAATGCCTTTGACCACACCGATCCTTAGGTAATCATGGGTCCAACAGCTGCTGTATATAACCGAAGGAAACCGATTTAGTCCCAGTTTTTTTTTTATTTGGTACCACCCAACCTTATGATCTCTCCTTACGTCTCCGCCTGAAAGCCAATGGCATATTACCCAAGGCTTATATAAATTCTCATTCTAGGTTTATTTCCACAGATTCTTCTGGCCCATACTAGGGACGGCTCAAAGATGGGAAAATGGTATGAGCATGGGTATGGGTAAATTTTTAGCACCTGGTCCTCAGCACCACCACAACCGTCTTTAAAACCGAACTGCAAGCCAAACCTGTGCACATGATATAAACAAAAACATCTCATAGGTACAACAAAAATCATTCTTTCAAATAGTCAGGCAGCTCTGAAGGCTCTCCAAGCTTACAAGATTACCTTAAAAATTGTCTGGAACTGCCTAAATACCCTAATAATACTGGGAACTTAAAATAGGCAAACATTACACTATTACAGTGAGCCCCCACGTCATCAGGGAATACAGGTAATGAGACAGCAGATATACTTGCTACAAAAGGAGCCTCGGAACCCACAAGCAAGAATCCATGTTGTGGAATAAACTATAGCCACTGCCACTCCATACGTTGGGGATTAACTGTAGTCGTTGGTGGGTAGACCTATATCTGCGAGAAAAGAGGGTACTTACTTTTTAATGCAGCATGACCCAGAAAAGTCCAACAGGGCCCTTTGGAAGTGGTCTCGGTGTTATCCCTCCAGTGTACTCGTGTCAGGATGGTCAATAAGCATTCACTACTTTAATTAGTCATCGTAAGAGGAAATACGATTTAGAGGATTGACAAGCAGAATGAACGACTATTCGCTATTAAATGTGGAGAGCAAGTCCGGGTGGGGGAACTTCAGCTTAGCTAGCGTCTAGGCCTAGCTATAGCCCGTGCCTAAGCACGGGACTATTTCAAAGGAAGTTAGGCTAAACTAATGACATCTACGATTTCTTTGGAACGTAAATTTGAAAAAGAATCCCCCCAGGTTTCGTGCTGCGTTTTTTGGAACATTTTATGCGATCCCCTACTACACTTGCATTTCCCACAGCTTTTGCTGATGATTTGCTAATCTTAGCATCAGCCAAAACGGCCTTTGACCTTCGTCTTTAGCAAACGAAACTTCACCCCGCGTTGAGGGACGGTCGATTAAAGATGTTTTTCAATCCGGATTGGATTAAGAATAACAAATAAGCGGAGATCAGACAGTTTAAACATATTTTAAATGGGAATCGCTCTGAAGGAGGACCAGTCCATTAAATATCTGGGAATCATATTCGACAAGCGATTTTCGTGGAATGGACAGATTGAATATATACGCGCCGAAGCTTTACAATTGATCATCATTCTATCCCGATCTGCTAAAGAATATTGGGGATTGAGCAGTAAGGGTACACACTGGCGCCATCTTGCCCATCCTCATATATGCAGCTTCAGTATGGAGCGATGCTCTTACAAATAAATACAATCTTAAAAAAATGAAAAGTCTGCAATGGAGGATCGCACTGTGAATCAATAAAGACTACAGGACAATTTCCTATGAAGCATCTTGTGTCCTGGCTGCTATAGTCCCCATAGATATTATAATTCAAGAGATAGTAGATGTATTCTATTCTCATAAAAGGAAGCCTCAAGCATGCTTTCCCCACCTACCAGTAGGACAACTGTTACCACTAAATCAATGCCCATCAACCCATCAATTGATACAGTACACAAATAAGAAGATTATGAAAAGGAAGTTCAAACCACTTAAGCGAAGTCACGATAGTTCAAGTGGTTAGAGCAGCAGTGTATTGAGCCGAAGGTCATAGGTTCGAATCCCATTCGTGAACCTAGCTTTTTCATCTCAACCAAGACCTTAGATTAAAAGTATAATTAATTAAAATAATTAATACGGTCAATTATGACTTCTAAATACATATATTAGTGAGTGTATAATTTGGTTAACTAGGTGTGCCTATTCTCGCTGCGAAATTTTCCCTTGCTATAGACTTTTTTTTGCTCTTTGTTCCTTATGTAATTTAATATACATTTGTCCTATTTTGGCTCGGACCTGATCAATTCTTTCAGCATACTTTTCAAGAATGAACCATGGTTCTCTTGGTAGAAGCACCAGTTACCATGTTTACTTTATTTTAAAGAAGTTCTTTTGTAAAATTGTGTATACGATAATTATAAAAATTTGCATATAAGTACTATATTGCCTACATACACTTTTTAAAAAAACATTTCTTCGGAAGAGGTCAAAACAGAGAAAACTTCCTTAAGGTTTTCGCCAAGCTTTCGACAGTTTTATACTGTCATCTTCAGGGCCTGTTTTATTATCGTATAAACAAACAATTAAAACATGAAAAAACAATAATTACAACAAAAATTGAATATCTTACTTTAAACCTTAATAGGGAATTAAACAACATGGTGTTTTGGGCACAGAAGTACATTATGTTTTTTGGGGCTCAGCATCTAAACATTAATTTAAATTGAATACATTAATAATTAAAAATTATAGCTAAAATTACAGTAAAAATAAAAATTAAAAACGTTGTCGAGAAAGGCTACCTCATATAAGTCTAAAAAACCAATAAAATCCTCCTTTTTTAGTTTTTCGGGTACATGTGATCACAGTGCGTTTCTTAAATATATATATACATATACAATTAACTTATTTTAAAATTTAAACAACAATTCTTGTATCCAGCAGGTCGATAATCTAGTTCATCGTTACAAAAACATTTCTGTTCAACGAAGGGGGTTCTGGTTCAATGACAATGAAATATACAGGGTTCTAATCACAATCTTTTTTCCAGTGATCCAGATTTTCCAGGAGTAATTCTCTACAATGGAAAATTTGTTGCAAAAATCGACTATTTTTTCTAAATAGGCTCTATATTGTTACTTTTCATGTTTCCGCAAAATAAGGTTCAAAAATTTTTCCATCAGAAAGTTGATATTCATTTTCAGCGCCCAGAAAAACCACTATACAAATTTTAGGTGAAATCATCTTAAAAAATTCTCTCAAATTTTTCACCTTGCAAATGACTTCGATTTTTTTTCCAAAAATCAAAAAATGGGCTATAACTTTGAAATGATCCCACGGTTCCAGAGGAAACTTCGCAATCATTTAACACCCTATAAACCACACGTAATGGCACAAACTTGTTCTTTGTACATTAGATACATTAGAACAAGATAAATAAATAAAAACGTGTGAGGTGTTTTTGTAGCTTTCATCCTTATTTTCCTCACTTATAATGACATAAAATCTAGTCATTGTTGGCATAGGCTTAAAGAAATTCAACTTCCGAATTCCTAAGGAGTTATGAATTTTAAATTGAATCAGAGGACTCGTAGAGAAAAAATTACATTTGGCGAATCCAATCAAAAAGCTTTTCGTATTTTATTTGCTAGAAAAATTCACATTTAAGGGTTTTAAAGAGTGCTTAAAATTAAACCAAATTATTTTTATCAAAACCAATTTTTTGGGTGGGGGTTACTTTACAGTAATCATCTTTTGGTTTGTACAACTTTTTATCCAAATCTCAATTAATACGACCCAGCATATTATTTTCGTATCCTATGCAGAAAAACAAAATTGAAATATATATTACGAATTATCAGAATTTTTTTTACGAGGGTTATTTGAACCCTCGAGGTGCAGGTGTTTTTTGAAAAAAAGCCCATTCGTAAGTATGTCAGGTTGCCGCTGCACTCGAATCCTGGACCTTTACCTTTCAGTGATGAATGACGCCGTGTCAATGTCTAAACTGTTGTAGATGAGGTCTAAACATAAAAAATGACATCATGGTGTGACAAACCAATCCACTGAAGGTAGACAGACCAAAATCATCGGAAATGACCAAACTATAAAATTGGCTGTTAGAGCATAACATTTTTGTGTTAACATTAATAAATACGCTACAATAATAATCAAGAGCAGCCGCAATTTTGGAGAAATTTAATAGAATTTGTCAGTTGTCGTTGATATCACAATTATCTTTTCTTTTTTTTTCTTTTTGTATTGGTGCTGTTGTTTTGAATAAAAACAAGAGCAAAAGAATGCAGGGTCACTGTATTCGAACACGGGACCATTACCTTACAGCCTCAACCGTTGCGACCACTGACACCCACTATCATTATTATTTTAGAGGGGAAAAAGCCACTGCCAATATTCAAAAGTGAATTAAATTAATTACTTTGCATTTTTAAATGAACAATTAATTTTTTTCTTATTTAATTAGTACTGGGCTAAATAATAAGAAACAATTGAGAAAAAAAATTGAATTTCGGTTTAATTATTGCTGTGATTTGGGTTTCACAATTCAAATTTTAGGATTAGCCACTTTACCTTGTTGCTATTAATCATGAATCACATGATAAACGAAATCGTTTGAATTATTAAAACTTTTCCATTCATCGAAAAGGAAATTAATAATGCTGAACATCTAGAAAAATATATTTATTTAATTATGCATTAAAAAAATGAAAACTATATGAACTTTATTTAATGAAGAATAGTCGATTGGACATTCGTTATTATCCATAACAGGCCAACGAGTAATTTCCTCCGTGTCAATCTAAAACATAAAAATTTCCATAATTTATACAAATAAGTGGAATAATCTAAAGCAGTTTGTGTCGGTAATTTAATCATCACATCTCAATAATAATATATCTTTATTTTCTATTTACAGAAATACAATTAGAAATTATATACAATAAAAGAATTATATAATGAAAGAGAGGATTTTTTTTAACCAATAAAGACTTGATTAATTATTAGAAATGGTTATGAATTTTGTCCAATAGTACTGTACCACATACCTTATTTCAATATATTGTGAATTTCTGATAGGCTTTGTTCAATGCATCGTATTAATCCAGGGCCATCTGTATTTTCTTTATAATTTGACACTATACATCCCAATCGTTCATTCCATATAGAATAACTACAAATGAAAGCAAAAAAAAATTATATATTATATATGAAGATGTTGATAGTATTACCCGATTCCATATCCATCTTGTACGACAGGTCCAAAGGCTCCCAACATAACAACATCTGAGCTAAGGGTTGATGTCGAAAGGACATAATGATTTAAAGCAGAGAACAGCGGGTCTGCAAACATATCAGGAACCTTTTTTCTTTTTTGGGCGATCAAATGTAATGCGAAAAAGTGACGATCGAAACCTTGACCTGCAAAAATTATTAATTGTTACAAATTATATGAAGAATAAGAATCTCAAATCATAAATCGTATGTATTTAGGTAATTTTAAGTTTTTAACTCTTAATTTAAAATAGTTATATATTTTATCTTGTCTAATGTATGTACACAATACAAATAAAAATAAAATAAAATTGTGGGGATCAAAACCACGACTGTGTGGGTTATGAGCCAAAACGCCCAACCACTTGTCTTCCACAGTCCCATAAATAGTAATAACAAGAGACTTTTTATTCAGCTGTTCATTTCTCAGGTGGAACACCAACTGACACCAAGTGCATTTTATCTCTGTAGCCCTCTCACAGGCATTGGCAGATCGGAGAATGTAGTAAGAGTCCCTGCATATGAGAATGCTACAACTGCTTATTACATCCCACTATGGTGCATCATGAACAGCGGGTTAAGAATGGTGAAGTGAAGTACACATAACCTCCTCCTGCCTACATTGAGGCAGCCACTATTAAAGTCCATCAAGGCGAGGGAGGGACTGAGAAGAAAGAATACATGTTTATTCTATGAAGAAGTAGCAAATACAGACCAGCAGGGCAGATGGACACAACCTGCAGGGATGAGCTCACAAACCGTCAGAATATGTCATGTGAAGGAGAACCTTGAAGTGAAAAATTTCCCATAACCTCCTGTACATGTTGATGATGATGAAACTGAGGGTAAACAGAAGTGACCCGGTGTATGGGGCACAACCTAAAAATGTGAGCTTCATATTCGCAGGAACATTTTTTAGCCACCTGGAAAGATTCGGTCCCACAGAAAACACTGTGACCAAAGAGTGGAAAGCCTTGTCTTTATTTGCGTCCTTCATTACTCCTTAATCCTTGAATGTAAGGATGAGGATGTCCAGGCACAAAATAATGGCTAGTGAGTGGCATACTCTAAAGCACAAGCTGGGTGTATATGAGCAAAAGAAACCGCTTTGTAGACAGCCCGGCAGGCATGTGATCAGTCTTCCATGGAGATCAGAAAACCAGATCCTGCCTGATAAAAAGGGGGATGGAGCGTGATCAGTTGAACTATGGGAGCAAGCAACTTACAAGCTGATTAGGTAAGCTTACCGAATGGCTCCTGTACGGGTGGTTAGCATTCCTCTTAAATCGAAAACTGGTGCCAGCCCATTGTCCCTAGGCTAGCGGGCCACTTCACTCTGGGGGTGATAGAATGGCCAATAGCAGGTTTCGGGCAAAACTTGTTTCAGCCCCTTCAAGCTTAAGGGCAAGTGGGGAAGAATCTTGCCTTGAACCATAGGGATCAGGTCGTTTTCCTACATGTGAACTTACAATAAAAGTACAATTCTTTAGTAAGTAGAAGTGCATTGCTTCCCACCTAGTTATAAACAAACAACTGATAAGGCCACACACCTAGTGCAGTTGAAAAAGTGACGAATTGCCTTAAAGCTGATGAGACCCAAAGGGATGTTCATTTCTCATTATTCAATTTCTTCATTATTGAAGCTTGTTAGTAAATTTATACATTCACTACATTCACATTGTTACACAGAAAAGTTGTACATTCGAACTTCCAAAAGGGGTTGTACTTCCGAAACTCCAAATCCGTTTAAAGTATTTTGCTTAATAGAAGGGTTCATCTTTATGAAAATTATTAGAACAAATGTATATATGGGACATCCATGCATGTTCGTCAATGTTAAACTACGACAACCAAAATACTAAGATAGACAACTAATTACCCATTGCAGCTTCTTTAATTAAGTTCCCATGCACTTTAGAACATTGTTTAACCATTTCTAATAACTCTAGTTTTCCAGGTTTTACAGAGGATTCGAATGCTTTGCATACTGCCTAAAAAAAGAAAAGTAATAATATAATAAAGTAAAAGTAGAAAAGATAAAGGTGGGGTGGGTATGTAGAAACCAAGTTTGTGAGTAGAACCATCATTTACAAAAAGTAAATTAAAAATTTCCAACAGTAAAAATATTTCTAAAAAATGTCGATAATTATCATATTTTAAATTATGACACTAACATAAAATTTTGATTAAAAAAGTATAAAAACTGTAAAATAAAATAACATAATAAACAACAAAATTATAAGATAAAATTCCACAGGCATTAAAAAAAAAAAAAAAAAAAAAAAAATATAATGCAAAAAAATAAACAGTAACAATCGTAATTTAGCACAAACTGGCAAAACAAAAATATGGGATGTCATTAAAATGGTATAAAATATAAAAAATAATGAACCTGATTAATTTTTATCAGAAAAAAAATTATTAGACATTTATATCAGACTTACAACTAGAGCCCAAATTTGTATGCAGTTGCATATTCTTTTTGCAGTTACGACCATGGTGATCAGATATTTATCTGAATCTTTCCTCTGTCGTACAACGGTTCAACTTTAATTCTAGATATTTTTTGCATATTTGAAGCATATGCAAATTTGAAACATTTTTTATTAATTTAAAAAAAATTAGGCAACTAAGCATATAAAAAGAAAAGAAAAAAAAACAAGAGACTGAAATTTTATTCAGATTTCACTTTCCAGTAACAAAAATGTTAAACTAACAAAATAGAATTTTCTTAAATTGAGTAACAAGAGCTCTGTTGATAAGTGGCCCTTGGAGGGCCTGATTCGTAGAAGAAGAGTCATTCTCACTCGATTAAGAATATGCCATGCAAGGTTGACATATGGACACTTGCTTTTGGGCCAAAGCCAGCATGCAGAGAAAGATTGCCCAGTGTGTCGACCTAATTAAAGGGTGCAATTCCTTGGCTCCATATAGTTAGCGTGTACGAATGCCACCCAATATGAAAATCATGCTTGAGCATGGCAGCAAATATCCCCTGTTCAGATTCTTGGAAGAAACAGCATGGTTTTATAGTATACTAGCTTTTACCCATGACTTGCGAGACTCGTTTTAATGTACCTTTCTAATGCGATGCAGAATGCTATTGTGGTTTTCTAATATAATATCTCGATTCTCAAATTCTTCTATTCTTCGGTTCACTTCGGTCTGTACATGGTAAAAATTCGTCCATACAATCCCCTTAGGGATGGAATTTCAAGAAATCCTTTCCCAAAGGCTATCCATGCAATTATAGGAATGCACTGTCGAATTTCAGCCCTTTATTTCCAGCGGTTTGGTCTGTGGGTTGTCTTTTGTCAGTCAGTTTGTGACAGATATATATTTGTATATATAGTAATGAATAATTTCAAATTTTCTAGCTAGTAAACCTTTAAAAAAATACCCGAAGTGGGAATTTCTTCTAAAATGGCAGGCCGGATTTTCCCTTTCATCGCAAAACAGAAATTAGAAAAATCCGGCGATGCAGGAATTATAGTATAACAGAAATTACAGATTTGTTCTAACACACAATCACAAACCAGTTGGCAATTAAACCGTGATTTATGACTGAATATGTCCAAACGCTGACTGATCACGGAGATTCTTAACTCTATTGGAATGTTTTTTTGTTTTGTTTTTTTGTAATCTCTGACACTGACAGTTCTTTTGACAGTCACCAGACATTGTAAAATAGCCAAACGAGGGGAAAAGAAGTATCAGTGGCCAATTTTCAGTTAAAGAGCTTTTCAAATGTAATTGGGGGAAGAGATGTTACCTTAAAATTGAAGAGCCTGAGACCAATTCTGACAGAAAAGGGTATTATTCAATACAGCTATTTAATATTTCTACAAAACATAAATAATTTTAATAAATCTATAGATTTCTCATTTTTTACAGAATCAGGCAGTCTGTAACTACAAATATAAAATTATTCATTTTTGTGAGCTACCCCGTCTCCGTCCTTGATAGCAGATATTTTGAAAAATTTATGTGGCTCATATTTTTTACTTGGAGATAGTGCCTACCCAATATTAAAAAAATTATTAACCCCATTTAAAGACATAGGATATTTAACTAGGAGGGAAGTAAATTATAAATTAAATCTAAGTCAAAATCAGTACATCATTGAACATTGTTTTGGCATACTAAAAAATTTTGTCAATTGTATCATGCAAAACCAAAAAATATAACTAGGTTAAAAAAAGGTAATTATTGGTTGGGTGATGTCTTATATTAAATATTTAATACTTTTAATGCAAATTATATGGCCTATTTGAGGGGTTTTTAGTGCATTAAATCCAGGCTCTAGTTATAACATACTCAACTAGAAATGAAAAAAGATCTTTTCAAATATATATTACTACTTACTGCAGTCTCAACAGTGCAAGGCCTCATTGTTTCTGTCCGACCATGCTTAAAAGCTGCAGTGCTGCAAGATTCATATGTAGAAACAAGCCTTCCTGATAACTTGTAATGGGCGATCTAAAAAATGATTTTAAAAAAATGTTCATCATTATTGGTACTGTTGTTTGTTTATGTTAATGGGTATAGACTAGTAATAGTTTTTTAATTGGGTAAGATGTTTGCTTGGTACTTAATAAATATCAGTGTTTTCTATTCCCACAATAAAATTTGTTTTGGTACAGAGAGATAAACGTCTTAAAACACTTGTATCATCATTATTTTTACATTGAAAAACAAACATTTTTTTCTTAACAGTTTAGTTGCACTAGGTGGGTAATTCCAAAATCTTTAAACTGAGGAATGTGTTCATTGAAATTGTTATTAAATTTAAATTATTAACTAATGCAGAATCACTTTTTATTAAGTATTTGTTCTAATGATTCTTTTTTAGTAGTTATATTTGTGTATTCTGTTTTTAAATATTTTCATATACTATTTAACCTTTGGATGGTCGCACTGGTAGTTTTGTACACCAACTGTAACTAAACCCCAAAGTCTAAAAACCCCATAATCTAAAAATAAATTATGAAAAAGGTAATGGACGGGGGTGACAAGATGCCTGGTGTTAGTGAGCAAAAAAAAAGGGAAACCATCCTTGGGGTATAAAAGTTTATTTTAATACTTTTTCCTTTCAATTATGCATGTCTTCTGGTGTTTTTATAGTACTTATTATTTTATCAGTGTTGCTCAATTTACTATTAATATTTATTTTCTCCTACAGGAAGAAGGTTATTGACATGGGAAAAATTCAATAAATATTCTTCAGGTTTGTGAATACATAATTTTTCATGGGACCTCACAAAAATGGTTGTGTAATTATTTCCGAATCGTGGAGTTCGGACTACAGGGATGGAGATTTTGAGTGGTGCCATGAACTACTAAGTTTCTTCTTCACCTGAGACTAGGCTCAACTGTTTTAATTAGCGTCAAGAGAGAAGAGAAAAGGACACATTAGTGGAGATCTGAGATATTATTGTGCGACACCAAAACCTTCTTCACTAACAATGTTTCAATATATGTAAGAACATAACCTTTTTTTTAGATTATTATTTCAATTACAAGATTATATGAACCCTCAAGGTGATGGTGTTTTTAAAAATTAGCTCATTTCTAAGCACCTATGTGGGGTGTTTCATGGCCGCTGGATTCGAAACCTGGACCTTAATCTTACAGCGATGAGTTGCATTTCAATGACATCCATTGTGACCATTGATGATGCCTTCTCTATTCACCTCTTGAGTTCATATGCTTGGTCACTCTCGTTGAAAATTTTAACATAGTATACAACCAAAAAAATAATTGCTTAATGTTTGTTTTGTCATAAAAATATTTTTTGACACATTGTTAATTGTTAATTTCTTTTTTCCGAAAGAGTAAAAATTGATTTTTTCCTAATTTTGTGATAAAATTATTGTTAGTAGTAAACAAAAACGTTTGTTTATGTGTACCGCTAATTTCCTTTCCATTTTATTAAAAATAAATGCACAGAAAAAAAAATTGTTTAATGGGCTGGGGTAACTTTATACCCTGTGCGACAGCTTGGGTTGTAACAGGAGGTGCGATCGCTTGAAGGTTAACGACAGCAAATAATGTTTTCACTATTTAAGCGATACAAATTAAATTATACACTGTTAATATAAAAATAAATAAATCTGTGTTATAAAAAATGAGAAATTGTATGCTATTTATGAGATGAAAAGTGTGATAATTGGAAAGGAGATTTAATCTATCTTCTTAATCCAAAACGAATTATATTTTTTTGGACCAATATTGTTAATAATTAAATTCACTATTTTTCATGGTGTGCTTGACCAATTAATATCATTCAATTAATTAAGGTTTTTAGTTGAGATAAAAAAGTCATTGTCACGAGCAGGATTCGAACCCATGACCTTTGACTAAATACGCCGCTGCTCTACCACTTGAGCTATCGTGACTTCGATCCACTCGGACACCAATTTTGATCAAATTTACAATTTTGCAGATCTTGAATTTTAACAAAACAGTGTACAAACATGTTAAATTTTGGGAAAAATATAGCTAATTAAATAAAGTTAAGCTTACCCAATTTTTCAACATCTTCATATTATTTAAATATCTTTTTTTTTATATTTTCATTCCCATCACCATCTTGATAATTACTAAAGTGTGAATGATACAAGGAATGGATAGGAGAGGTTCTAGGATCGCCATGTGTCCTAAGCATGCTCAAAGTTTTTTGCAACCCAAAATATTTGTGATTAGAAATAAATCCATCATACTTGAAATGCAAGTTGCATTACTAAATCAGGGCTGATTTTATGTACTTTGCAGAGATTCCTTCCAAAATGTAAGCACTCGTGTAGCTGAATTCCCAACGAGGAAGTAACTTGGTTATATTTTTTTTTAGCATCAGAAATAGCTTTTTTTGATTTATCATCAAGTTTGAACACTGGAAAAAAGTACTAAATTGAATAAAACCGCTTATATATGCATAACAAAGACATACCTAATTGAGAAACTAACGTTTCTGGAGAAACGTTATTGCACTGAGCATCAGGATGGACTCTAGGTTTTTCCGTTGAGTCTTTGTATATATCTTGAAAATACCGAAGAATGGCAACTCCATCTCCCCATGAATGTTCAAAGTTCAACCCAGCAATGCCATTTTTACAGACAATCATTGAAAACGATTTGTCAAACCACCTAAAAATATTTATTATTACTTTCAGCTCACAACTTACCCACAAATTTTGTTTTATTTACCGGTTAACTCCATCTGAATGCAAGTACTTTTGTATTAGTTTGGCGTATTCAGTAGTGGGCTCATCATCTTCAAAAATCAAGTTAAAAATAGCACCATCAATTGTCCTGAGTAAATCGGCATTACCAATGTTTTTTAAGTGTCTTCTCTCATCTGCCCACTTATCCCGGTTTTCTGTAGTAAGTATGCCGACAGGATGTTCGGCTGGGCTTAAATCTTTATTTAAAATATATTTCAAACAAGTGAAAATTGTTTGAGGATCTAAAATATCGCCTAAAACAGAATAAATAAATACAATTGATTAAAAAAATCCTCTATTTTATATGTTAGATATTTCGATATGCCAACTATTACAATGACCAACTAATCATTCATCATCATCATAAGTCATATTAATTATAATTGGTCAAAAAGAAAATTTATATTAAGTTCTCTTATGTTCATTACAGTGTGTACAGTCATGTGGAACTTCCTTGGGGAGCTGAAGAGCTGTACAAAACAATTCATTAGATGTTTAAGCTTATCTTCAAGCTACCCAGTGAGTCCCCGGACACAACACATCCGTAATCAAAGTGGGGTGAACTAAGGAGGAAACTAGGAGTTCATATGTACTAAAATGGAGAAGGTGGCTAGAAAAGAAGGTAGAAAAGTAGTGCCAGGAAATCTGGGACATATCGGGGCTTCTAGGGCACATTCTGATCAATGACAATCCCAAGGTTCTAGATGGTGGGTCAGAAGAAAATAGGGATAATGTTGATTGGGCAGGCACTGGATCCAAACACAATAGCCTGGGACTTTTCAATGTTTAAGTTAAGCACATTTTCAATGGACTAGAAGATAATTGAATTTAAGTCTTCCTTAATCAACAATTGCAGCTCATACTCCAAGAGGAAAGGTAAACTATATTCAACTGTATAAAAGTGTTGGGATCAATATTTTAATAATATAGGTCATTAATGTAACAGCAAACATGGGAAATGAAGAGTTGCTTGAATCTTGAGGAAGGGATGGATAGGCGAGAAAGGGGGTTTATTTGGGAGATACTAATAGAAACGGTGGGACAAAGAACACAGTAAAAGAAAAGGTCTTAAGTTTAATAAGGAGAAGCGAATCGACAAGAATGATGATTTTACATTGGTCAAAAGAAGTTTGCATGTCTGTGGAGATTTTTAGAATAGCTGGATTGTGTGGAAAAGTCAGAAAGGAAGCCAGATGGAAGGGGAGCAAGGAGATTTGAGTTTTCTAAGTAGGTAGACATATGTAACACAAGCAAGCCAAATGTAGGAGATGTGAGGGAGGCAGAGAGACGATCTCTCATGCCTTTTCTAAGTGCCACCAGGTCCTAATCACTGGTCTCCATGACTTGGGATACCAGGTCATTGTTGAAATGTTTACCGGATAGGACATGTCTCCGGCCAGATACAGTAAAGATGGAGTAGACATCTTAGACCTCACAGTGGCATTGGGTCAGGTAGCAGACCTCAAAGCACAAAAATATGGGGTATTGATTGAATATATTGCATTGCCCTCATAGAGCTACAATGTAAAAATTTCTTTAAAGCAATGGGTGTTGTACTTGGGAGGGGGGCAAGAGGATGCTTACCTGACGTCAATCTGCTCCTGAGAATGCTTTCCCTAATGGCACTGATATCCTCACTCTCCATAGCCTGTCTCATATGGACAGATAGACTTTTTACCCACTCTTCTAATGAATCCAGCTATTGAAGAAAATACCTGCGACGGATCCTGGCTAAGATGTACATTACCCAAAATGGACCTAGTGTGGAGTGATGGGGTGGGTGACCTGCATCAAAGGATGCAAAAGCCGGCAAAGATTTAATTTAAGTTACTATCAGGAAAATAAAATAGCTACTAAAGCATCAGGTGAGATGTCTTAGAAGAAGGAACTATTAGGGTCAAATTGAGGTCGACTAGGAAGGCTAACTAAGGCTATGTGGACTGGAAGATTGCAAGACTATCACAAAGTGAGAAAACTCATCAGGTGATGCTGGGAAAACGGGAAGAGCTTAGTATAAGCTGCAAATGTTTTATTTATTCAACACACTTGAGAAATTTAGTCTAAATTAAATGGTAAAAAGCCACTGAACAAACCCAGCAGATTTTAAAACAATATAAATATCAGACAACTGACAAGATATACATTACCTGATTCGTCCAAAACATTCATCTTAAAGAAATGGCCCCCTTTCATCACAATTATATATTTTGTATCTGCGTCATGGTACAATCTATCCATTCCTGCTTCTGGAATTCTTGAAGTATTGAATAAATTTTCATACTGAACCATATCCAACGGAAAGGCCTAAGATTACATCTTTATTTTAATTTTTTCTGAATTGATTAAATTTAACAGATTAATTTAAATTATACAAAACTATTTAACAATTGACAAAATTAATGTTTATTAAAGGTAAGATATATAGAAAAGCTATATTAAAGGTAAGATATATTGAACTTGCAATAAAAGAAGCTACCTTGCCAGTGTTCAAGTAAGTACACACAGAAATTATGGCATAAAAGACTGCCAAAAACAAACAAAAAACCCACACCTAAAAATGAAAACTAATATTTGCAAAGTCAGCAACAAAAGGAAACTATCAAAAATATCTAGAAGATTCAGCAGATAGCTAAAAAACTTCCCAGGATATGACAAAACATACTAATTGATATCAAGCAGCTATGCAGAAAAGCTAAGATGCTGATTGAGAGTATATAATATAACTCGGTGATGTGTTCTGCTTCAAAACATGCGAGGCAGAGGTCATGAATATTGTTATCCTTCCCACCCAAGGTAAACCGTACAAGAAATCCCATTGCATCAGATTGGCTTCACTACATATCATTCAACCTGTCACCAAATATGCAAGATATTGAGAAAAGACATACAGTGGCTACATAATTGGCTCTTTAAAAGAATTTTGTATGATGGTTTAACATATAAACTGAAGAAAATGGGTCTACCTAAGCACTTATATGAAGTGTTTCCTGGGAGGGAGAAAAAGAAAAATATAAAGTTAGAGAAAAAAATATTTTAGAAATGTACCAAACATAGGCACATCTTCAGAACTACAAAAAAATTACTTTCTGGTACAACCTAAGGGTCACTTAAATCCGTCAATGTTGCTATAAATGATGATGACACTACAGCATACTCACTAAATGATGTTCAAACCAGTGTTCAATTAGCATAGGATGTGATAAGCTATTTTTATTTGAATTAAAGGCTTTTAAACAATCCTGCCAAATTAGAACCAAAATCTTTTCTCAGACAAACATCCTGGATTGTCTTTGGGTACAGGGTGAACCTTCAGCAACACCTATCATCCAAGACAGTTGAGACCCTACCACCGTTTTAACCAGGCATCCAAAGGTCAGGTCTATTCCCTTGTTGTCTAAGCGCCAGGAACTGTGGAAGCTTTCCACAGCTGTGCCAATTCACTAACCCTATCAACATGGAATATTTCCACAACTCCAAAAACCAGATCACAAAGAGGTATGTTTGGTGGGATCAGAAGGGGGTACTTTATTACCATTTTCAGCCAAACTAAACTGTTTATTATAGTGTATATTGCACACAATTGGAGCAGTTAAGTCAGCAAATGAACAAAAACAACTAGTATTGGTTAATCACTAGGCGCACTTAAGCTGGAGCTTGGCGGGGATGTGCTTCTCCACCCATTGCATTGGCCTGACATTCAGGACTTCAGCCTGCGCAGATTTTCACTTATTCCAGGCTCTGCAAAACTCTATTAATTGAAAAGGCCTTACTTAACTTGAGCATTGCAGAAAGCACATCGAGTTCATTACTAAAAAAACATAACACATTACTTTGACCTGCATGAACGCCATACTGGTCCAACCCGCTCGACAGATGATATTTCTATGAATAAAAATTTTTGCCTTACAGGAGGGGAGAATTGAAATACCAGGCCGCACTGAACATACAAAATTACAAGGAAGATGGCAAGGTATTGGAACAAACTGGTTCATATATTAATTAAATTTTGTATAAACTGAACTTTTCAGTGAGTTTACTATTAAAAGCCGTTATGGACTTATTTTATGACCCGATATATTTTTACCCCCACTAACAGAATGATAAACATACCTTAAATAAATAAGCACCATACCAACTAACAGAAGATGGCAACATGCCTGTTACGGTTCGAAAGAAACTTGTATCTGATTTCTTAGGGTTCATGTGATACACTTCAGGTTCTAAGAGGTTACTTCTAAGAGATTTCATGAACCTGAAACATAAAGTGATAAAATTAAAGGTTTTATATATGAAAAAAACACACACCTAGTATACCATTTTGCTAACTGATAGAAAATAAAAATTGAGCCAAATATTTATTTTGTTATAAAGGGTTAATAAATAATTTTCAGATGTTACGGATGAGAGGGTCAAATTTATGGGCCGATTTATGTTCTGTGATTATCTGTGGGTTAACCAGTTAAACAGTTTATGCTACTACAGATAAGATTAACCAAGGTTTAAATTTATTCTAGACTTAAGACCTCCAATACATATAAACTAGGGTTAACGTGGGAATACTTTTGGTCACTCTTACAATTCATGTCAAGAGACTTGGTTGTAAATCCTTCAATTTGATGATGAGCGTTAAGCTTGAAATCCAGATCATAAAAAACAATAAATTGTGAGTAAGACCCAACTTATCAAAAAAGATACTTTTGATCTCATCGCCCTTACACAATGAGATAGAGGATATACCATTTTTCAGGGTGGGACAATGCTGATTTTGCGTTTTGATTCTAACTCCCAAAGGAAACACGTCCAATCTACTTTACACTGATTCAAGGATAATTAATTACACGTGATAATTCCATAAAACAAATGAAGAAGGAAGCTCCTTTTGACATTCCGTTTTTATGCACTGGATCGATCTTGGCAGATTTTTTTGGTTTAAGCAAGAGTTCTGTTTCTCATATTGTAAAGGATGTCTGTATTGCTCGTCTTCGTCATCAGCACATCTTTGTCAAAGACTCTCTCATGAGTGTTTGAGAGATTGTTCAACATAATCAATGAAAAACAAATGGGTTCCTCATAAATTTATCAACGGTAACAAGCTTCAGCGTCTAAACATTTGCCTTTCTTTGCTTTCATGGCAAAAATTAGAGACTTTTTTGACAAGATTATCGCATGCAGCAAAAAATGGATCCTATACTGTAGCACAAGGAGGTTGTATTGTTGGATGTCATCAACTGACCCTGTCTTTTTGACGCAAAACCCAAATATTCACCGAAAAAGTGCTATTTTTATGGAGTACGGCAGGCATTGTGCCTACGAACTCCTGCCAAATGGCTAGACCATTACCACAGAAATCTACTCAAGCTATGAGCTCAAGCTCTGGCCCAGAACAACCTGCTCTCGTGAACAGAATAGTAATTTTTCATCAGGACAATATGAAAACTCATACAGCCTTAATTACAAAGGTGATGGCTCTGTACTCTCCAGATCTGGCACCATCTGACTTTCACTTTTTCCTAGTAATGGACAATCATCCCATATTTTCAATCGGTTGTTTGCCAACAGCTGGATTTATTTAACTCCCAGGATGCAAACTTTTATGGCCTAGTAACACACTGGGAAAAGGTTATATATGCCGATGTAGGCTATTTCCTCAAATAAAATATTTCTAAACTAATTTTTTGACAATTATTTAACTCTTTAAACCCTTTTCCTGGTGCAACAGTTAAGTTAAACCAAATGTTTTAACCATCGTTTAGCATATTCTAGGTATAGCAATCCAGAGTGTAAAACAAATATAATATGAACCGACCGGCCCTTAATGATTTCAATGTAAAAAAATGTAAGAACTATAGTACTAATTTAACCAATACTAATTAAAAAAACAAACCAGGATTAGACACAATGATTGAGGCCTCTGCAGCCCGACTAACGAACAAGTAATAGTTTATGCATATGATTTATTATAAAACTCATTTTATACCTGAGAGATGAAATCAACAAATTTGTTCCACGAAGAAGTTGTGTATTGTACTCAGGTTTTGGACCATCAATAAATACCAAAAAAGGATTATAGTTAATTGGCAAAGGTTTTCTGTCTTTTAGATACATTTCAAACCAAGGTGCAGAAATGTAACTGGTGTGCCGATTATTTTTATCTGTTTCAACAAGTTCAGCTTGCAAGGACGGTCCGTCATACTTTTCAAATTCTTTAACCGTTTTTTCAACTCTAGAATATTCCTTGTCCAACAATAAAGGTCGCTGAGCCTTTAAGTATCTCGCACAGGAATTCGATAATTCGGGGATGGGGAGTCGAGGAAGAGACTTCTGAAAGTGAAGAGTAGGCACTTTGCTCCTTTGAATATACTGATAATCGTCTGGCCTGGTACTAAAACAAAACACAAAAAATTATTAGAAACTAATGAAAGAAATATAAATTATTATTTAGTATTGACAAAAATAAGTGCAAAAATGGCGTTTTAACAGACAAATCTTGTTGTGCTCTTGGAGATACACCATGAATGTCTTTGCAAAACGGTGGTTGTTGTCTGTGTACCCAGACACGCAGGTCTGGGGGGTAATGAAAGAGCTGACGAGGTGGCTAAGGCTGGGACATCACAACCTTCTGACTAACCACCACGATCTGACGCTAAAAATGCAGTAATCAAGACGGCTGTCAATAGCTGGCCCTCAGAGGATCTGGCTCATAGAAGAATACAAGAGAACATATTTAAGAATGAACTTGAATATGAATGGGTTTGGAACTGCATGTTTAACCATCTCGATCTTGCCCTCTGATGATAAAAATGCAATAAAGAACACAATTTAAAGAAAGTGGCAGTGATGGTGGATCAGTAGAGAAGCTATTTCAGATCAAGAGTACCGTCGAAAGATAGCCCTTGAAGGACCTAACTCATAGAAGATTAAGAATAGGCCATGTGAGGCTGACAGACACTTATGTGTCCAGCATGCAGAGAAAGGTTGGATGATGTGCCCCACCTAATTGAAGGTTGTAATTCCTTGGCTTTATATAGAGAGCATGTAGGAATGCCACATGTAATGGTCAGTACTGGGATTTAACCGGAGGACAAACTGGAGTCCATATTATTGAAGGTACAATATCACTGTAGTCTGTTATGTCCAAGAAATTAGAGGAATACATCTCTCAAACCAGGGATCTCATTGCCAGGGATTTTCGATTTCTGGATGACAATGTCAGACCTCATAGAGGCAGAGTTGGTCATCAGTGTTTAGAAAGCCTGGGAATTTCCCATCTGCCCCTTCTACCATTGTCTCCGGACCTCAATCCAACTAGCACGTGGGATGCGTTGCAAAGAAGGCTTTTCGACCACCAACCGCAGCCAGTGACCTGCCACAACTGAGTCCAGCGTTGCAACATCTATGGAGTGAAATTCCTTATGAATTTAGTGACAACCTTATTGACAGTATGCCTAACAGATGTACAGAGATTTTTAGCGAACAGAGGACATTATACATGATATTAACTGTTTAAAAAAATTATTGTGTCCAATAAACAAAATTATGAAAATAAAACCTTTTATTGTTATTTTTCAAAATCCCTTAATTAAATTATCCTTCAATGAAAAACACAATTTCTAATGTGTGGTGTTTAGTATCTTAGTGTTTAGACCGCACGTGACAATCTCCAAATAATAATTTCTGATAAATTTTAATGAAATTTGTAATAAAACTAAAATCAAAATGCCGGGGAAAATAAATACTACAAAATTGGCAATATCCTCAAGTCATTTTTGAGCAGTAGTAGTTTAGTAAAGAATGTATTCAAGAAGGAAAGAGAGTGTGAATGGATTTCAATCAAGGAACTGCATGCGTTGGGTGCCGAATTGATCTAGCTGTTGACAGCACCCAGAGCGCAACCGCGGTGACTGAACTGATAAGACCGAGGCCTGACCCCAAAAGCCAAAATCCAGAGTGGGTGATCCTCGGGGCCAGCCACAAAAGCTGGTACCGCCGGTCGACTGCGGGAAGCGATAGGCTCAACTCAGTACATGTATGTTTACATATATGTACAAACAAGTACAGATTTGGGTTTATGTAAATCCAAATACAATCAGACAAATGTTATTTCTTCATCAGCGTTTAAATTGGCTATTAAAAAAAAAAAATGGTAAACAACCATCGACAATTTTTCAATATTTGTAAAGCTAACAAGCATTTACATTTCTTTCTTTGTTTTTTGTTTACTGTTCAAACATATTTACAATGTCATTTTTACCTGAAGAATCTCAAACATTCTGAAGCAGTGGGATGTGCCTATAACAATGAAACAATTGCTTTGTTGTTTTTTTTGTTTATTCATAATTGAAAAGACAATAGTCCATTACAAATCAATACATTGTTGAATACTTACTCTTGTCAAATTGTTCTTCAGGTGTAGGAGTTTCATTTTACTTACAATTTCAGAACAGAAACTTGATAACAAATTAATTACGCCGAATTTCAAGAATAATACGTTTCGTACAGTCAATCTAGCAGTTGATAAATAATTCCTTTAAGTCCCTAAATGTTTAGACTGAAAATAAAAAAGGGCTTGAAGAGAAATGTCAAAAGATTAGGATAATCAGTCAAAACAAAATATCATTGTCATATTCAGTAGAAAACAGGGCTTATCATATGAATACTTCCAACCACTTAACATGTCAGCAGGGCCAAAGTGTCAAACGTTTTCCCGCTTCTCTTCGAATTCAAATAAATTTATCAACTTTATTTTTTCGGAGATCGTGAGATGCGGTCTGGTGTGACGTAGGTTTTAGAAAAATATTTCCTTTATCTTGCTAACGTTTCGAGTAGATAATATCGAGAAGTGGGCTGGAGAACAAGGTTTTAAGATCTCGCCTGAAAAATCACAAGCTATGATATTTACCAACAAAAGGAATCATCGAGAACCCCAAATATCATACAAGAACTACATGATTCAACCAACACCAACTGTTAAGTTCTTAGGCATGAGATTTGACAAAAAATTAACCTGGGGTCCCCATATAATGGAACTAAAAACAAAGTGCACAAACTTGCTCGATACAATAGTGATCTTGTGTAACACAACATGGGAAGCAGACCGCAGCACCTTACTCAAATTTTATAAATCCCTAATACGATCTCGTCTTGATTACGGTGCCATTGCTTATCAATCAGGAAACAAAAACACTCTAAAAAAAACTAGACCCCATTCATCATAGGGCTCTCAGACTTAGCACAGGAGCATTTAAATCCAGCCCGATCAATAGCTTGATGGTGGAAACAGGAAAAATGAGTCTTTCCATGAGGAGACAAATTCAAACAGTTTCCTTCTTCTCCAAAATTAAATCAAACCCCCATCATCCTCTATACATAATCAAAACCCAACCCCACCTAACAACCTTTTATGAAAGACACCCAAGACATAAAACCCCATTCTTTTATAGAGCCCAAACTTACATCTCATCAAGAAACATAATGGCAAAATTTTTAAACAATAACCCCTTTACCAAATACCCCCTATGGCTGTTGCCAAACATAAAATTTGACTTTACCTTATCCGAATATCCAAAAAAATCGACCAGCAAATGCGAATTAAAACAAAGATACCTAGAAATAGTGGCTAAAAATAGGGACTCGCTTAAGATTTATACTGATGGGTCGAAGATGGCCAATAAAGTAGGATGCGGATTTGTCGTCGGAAACTGACAATATAGCCTGAGACTACCCTCGATGTACAGTATATTCAATGCCGAACTGATGGCCATTACAGATGTCCAATTGAACCATAATACGGTTGTTCTTTTTTGTGACTGCTACAGTGCCCTGCAAACCATTAAAAGTTATAATGTCGTATACCCCCTGGTTAACAGGGTGTGGGAGATAGTGTATGAACTATACTTAAGGGGAATTTCCATTTCCTTCATATGGATTCCAAGTCACATAGGAATAAAAAACAATGAACGGGCAGACGTTGCCGCTAAAACAGCCCTGCGCTTACCTGAATCTGAGCAGCCCATGTGTGCAAAGGATCTTGTTTCAACCTTCAGAAGAGAGATATTAAAAAAAATGGGAATCTGAATGGATGAATATTGGAGACAACAAACTAAAAATGATAAAAGACAGCATTCACCCCTGGGAAACTTCTTATGAAACGAATAGGAGGGAAGAGGTTATCATCTGCCGACTCAGAATTGGACATACAAGAATGACACACGGGTTCTTGATGGAAGATACTGACCCTCCTGTCTGCTTGTGTGGTGCCCCCCAAAGAACTGCCAACGGTTTTACACATCTTTCTTACACCTCCCACTTAAACAACTCCTACAGGATAAGCAGCAAATGGTTGACAAAGTCATCGGGTATTTAAAAAAAAATAAAACTATACAACTATATATAACAAGAACACTACATTAACACACAAATAACATAAACAACAAAATTGAACCATCTCTGGGGGGCGCGGGCTAGTGGCCTGGCGCGCTTTCGCCAGTTGGGGCGGGACACGTAGGGACCTCAGGGCAAAAGCCCCGGACCTCCTGAGGCTTGGACTTTTCCATATAGGTCTCAATGTAAGTGGTTTTTATCCACGTCCTCCAAAGGGAGCTCCATAAGGTCAATCATATTAAAAGAAAAACCAAAGACGGAGAAGCCCCTGGGTCCCTCCTTTTTCGGCGGTGGTGGCCGGGCGGCTGGCTGTACGCGCTCCCCAGAACTGACACACACACACACACGACTGTACTCATACGGACACATAGCTACATAAAGGCAATGATACAACCCTTGCTGGTTTTTTGCCTATATATTTAAAAAAAAAAAAAGTTTTGAGCTTTGTTTGAATTTTACATGTAGGATGAGGGAATTTATACAATGCTAGAAAATTTTAAATTAAAAACAATAAATAAAATGAATTTATACATTGCTAGAAATTTTATATTACAAAAATAAATAAATAAAATGAATTTATACAATGCTAGAAAATTTTATATTAAAAAAAAATTATTTTATACAATGCTAGAAATTTTAGATTTAAAATTAAAAATAAATAAATCAAATGAATTTATACATTGCTAGGAATTTTAGATTAAAAAAATAAATAAATAAAATGAATTTATACAATACTAGAAAATTTTAGATTACAAAAATAAATAAATAAAATGAATTTATACAATGCTAGAAAATTTTAAATAAAAAAAAAATTAATTTATACAATGCTAGAAAATTTTATATTAAAAAAAATTAATTTATACAATGCTAGAAATTTTAGATTAAAAAATGAATAAATAAGTAAATAAAATTAATTTATACAATGCTAGAAATTTTAGATTCAATAAATAAATAAATAAAATGAATTTATAAAATGCTAGAAAGTTTTATAATAAAAAAATTAACTTATACAATGCTAGAAAAATTTATATTAAAAAAAATGAATTTTTAGAGCTGAGATCCACTAACAGGGAGGGTTTGCAACGGCAGAGGGTCATAAATTCCTCAGGGTGTCGGTGTTTTTGGAAAAAAAAAAATTTGTAAGTATGTCAGGTTCGAATCCAGTGGCCCTGCATTCAAATCCGAGACCTTTACCTTACAGTGATGAGCGCCGTGTCAAGGCCACTGATGCCCCTAATGGTCAGTTTATAGACAAAGATATCAAAATTAAAATCTACAAGTGTAGAAAGGTCAAATCAGTTCATGGAAATCATAAGGAGTATCACCGGACACTCCAGTTTGAACCGAATGAGGCACAAGAATAGAATAGAATAGAATAAATTTATATTTGTACATGTGTAATACAATATATACAATAATTTTAAAATGTAGGGAAAGTGACGTTTCACTGTGGCTTCCTTCTATTTGAGGTAAGAGAAATTTCATAATAATTTGGGGAAAAAAATTTATGTTCAAAAACCCACATGCAAAGGGATGAAGTCTATATATGGAATTAAATAAATGCATATAAAAAGTGTAGATAGAAGTAAATAAATAAATATATAAATATTCTTATAACTATGAATTTGATAACTATGACAAGTTTATAAAGCCAGGTACATTTTGTTTGATTTTCTTGTGTTTTCAGTTTGCATTTGTTGGATATGCTCCAATGGATCTGCAAATAGGATTTGAGGAGACACTCATACGGGTAAAGAATTTGCTGACCTCATCGTATATTTCCCCCTCTACCCATTTCATGTTAGTTCACTCATGTAGATCTGTCAATCTGTAATATCTGGGAGAGGCAGAGGCTAGCCACAGAAATTTATTTTGGATTGCCTGTAATTTATTAAGATTTGTTGTGCAGGTAACATTCCATGCTGGGCATGCATATAGCAACATTGGTTTAACAAATACTTTATACATTTGTAGTTTGTTGTGTTGGCCAGACTCCTTTCTGAGCAATGGGAAAGTGTCGTATAGCCGCTTTCCCGTTGCCTACCAGATTACTTGTGTGAGCACCAAAATTCAATTTAGATACCATCCTTAACCACTTAAATGACTTCCCCTCGAATTATATGTTGTGGGAGAGCAGGGGCCTATGCTTAGTGAGTAGCACACAACTAGTTTTGGAAGAGTTAATTTTCAGCTTCTATCTTGTGAAGAACCGTCTTACTCTTTCTAGCTCCTTATTAACGTTTTTTACGATCGCACTAATCCTCCAGGATCAACTGTAAAGAGCGATGTCGTCGGCATACAAAGCGAGTTGGCAGCATTTGGGCATAGGCAAAGCATTTAAAAAGATGCAAAAAAGTGTCGGTCCCAGAATTGAACCCTGAGGCACGCCTGCTTTGACGGCAAAATGGGAAGAGAGAGAATTATGAAGGGCTACTCGAAAAGTCCTCAAGTGAAGGTAACTGTATACGTCCTTCATAATGTATTTTGGGAAGTTGTATTTAATCATTCTGTAAATTATACCATTATGCCATACTGTATCAAAGGCTTTCTCCATATCAAGAATGACCAGCCCCGTGTGTTTTTAATGTTGAAACCTTTAGTTATGTGATCAACTATTCTAGCAAGTTGACCTCCTGTGCTAAGGCTGGGCAGAAGCCAAATTGTTCATTCTTAATTATATTAAGGGTGACTAGATGAATTTCGATCCTTTTAGATTTAATTTGGTTGGTTTTTTTCATGCTACAAATTCATTCTGTATTATGTTTGTTATTTGTTTGTGTTTTCATTCTGTAAAGATATATTCTCTTTATTTCTCTGATGATCTCCAAAAACTCCTGCTGTCTAGTACAAGCTTTGCTTTTTGACTGCAGGCAGGGATGTACTAAAATATTATTTTTTGTTATAAATTTATATGTAATGTACATTCTTGCAAATAAAGATATATTACTATTATTTAGCTAACACCTTTTCAAAGATCTTGCTCAAAGAGGCACAAGAAACATCTACGGGCACACATGACATACTACTTACTACTTTCCTACTACATACTAGTTAGGACTTTGCATTGTGCTCTTAACGTTAAAAAATTAAAATCATCAGTACTGATTAATTAACTGATTTAACAAATATTACATAAGAAGGAATTTTAAATAAACTGCTCTAAAATGAATATGGATATTGCCAATTTTGTAGTATTTACTTTCCCTAGCAGTTTTATTTTATTTTAATTAGAAATTGACTTAAAATTTATTAGAAATTATTGTTTTTTACTGAAGTTAAATTTCATTAAAGGATTTTGAAAAATAACATAATAAAAGGTTTTAATTTCATAATTTTGTTTATTGGACACAATATTATTTTGTTTTTAAACAATTGATATTGTGTATAATGTCCTCTATTAGCTAAAAACTTTGTGCACCTGTTAGGCATACTGATAATAAGGTTGTCACTAATTTCATAAGGGATTTCACTCCATAGACATTGCAACGCTGCACTCAGTTGATGCAGGTCAACTGGCTGCGGTTGGCTCTCTGCAATGCATCCCACTGTGCTCAGGATTGAGGTCTGGAGACAATGGGGGAGATGGGAAATTCCTAGGTTTTCTAAACATTGATGAACAACTCTGCCTCTATGAGGTTTGGGCATTGTCTTCCAGAAATCGAAAATCCTTGCCAATGAGATCCCTGGTTTGAGGGATGTATTCCTCGATAATTTCTTGGACATAACAGACTGAGTGCCTTCAACAGTACATAGATTACGGTTCGTTCTCCAGTGTAAATCCCAGCCCAGACCATTACACCGCTCCCTCCAAACTGCACAGAAGGGAGCACGCATTGGGGCATTGTACAAATCCCCTGTTCTTGGTAGACTCTTCAGCAACTACTATAAAGTTGATAAAGGCCTTGCCAAAACATCTTGTACTCTATGGAAAGGGTTCTGTCTTGCTGCACTGAAAATATTTCTGTCCTCCCTTAGCGTCGTAATACGCTGAGATCCACTACCAGGCCTTCTATTAGCACTTCCAGTTTCTCAGAATTGGGCTAAAGCCCAGAGGACCATACTCTGAAAAACGCCAACTGCCTCTGCGATATCCACTTGCCGGTGACCTCGATGACTCATTCTCATAACAATATTGCGAACTTCTGGTTCAAGATGATGTCTTTCCATGGTTAAAGAGAATACAATTAATTCGATTAAAATGGAGAAAAGACGAGAAAAGGTGTTTGTTTACAAAATGAGTAATCTTCATGTTTACTATTCTTAAGTAAAATCCATTATTAAAAATGAGGATTAACATTTGTTTGTTTTTGGTTTGTATCTTCCATTTTGTTTCCTCAAACTGACAAGAATATATCAGTTAATTTAATTGAAATTAATAGTGTAAGAATAAATTACTAATATCTCTAGTCATTTGCGAGCAGTTTATAATGGATATTCTTGCTTAAAAAATTTGAACTTTTAAACTAAATTGCGTACTGGTAGAATTTCTAATAGACTATAATTACATGAAAAACTGCATTTTTATAAGTTCCCATGTATTTGTGTGTTCTGTATTTTTTTTTTTGTTTTTAACTGGATAGTGTCCGAAATATTTACAAAACATATATACTGTTATTTGTCATATATACTGCTTTTAAAGGTTGAATTTCCTTTTGAGATGACTAACATATGTTTTTGGTAATCCTTTTGCCCTGAAACAACAACACAATTGATCAATAAAGGTAAAACAAACAAAAAATATTCGAGGTATTTGTTATATAAGCTATAAATTAAGATAGGAATGCTTTGACAAAAAGGTTAAAAACCATTTCATTTGTTTGATATAATAATAATAAATACAATTTAGTCACATACTTATATTCAGAAAGTTTCTGCCGTTGTCTATTACGGACCAGATCATCATAGGCTTTCTGGTAATTTTTAAGCATAGTCCCTTCTTGGAACTTGTTCTCCCTTGCAATTAACTTGTTTTTCTCATTTTCGTTAATTTGATCAAGTACAATGTACCTAACTTTGTCCATCAGCTAAAAAAAATATTTTTGTAAAATTAATAATGGTAATGAAGACAATTTTCAAATTTTCTAACTAAAATACATTAACCTAGTACATACTTTATTTTGTAAAGTTTGTTCAATTTAATATTTGTATTTATTTAAATTTGTTTACACTTTTAATGTTGAATATTCTTGTGATTTTAATTGTTTAAATTACTCATTAAAATTTCTTATTTAACGCTCAATTTTAAAACGAGTAATATTTAAACTTAACATATTTTAACAAAAGTTTATTCTTTTTCTCCTTTTTTAACAGATTTTGAATCCTCAGCAAAAAAAGAAAAAAAGGTTCGTGTCTGGGTAACGAAAAGGCAGCTAATGCTAGGATTTCCCAACCTCTAGACTTAACCACCGCAATCTGGCCCCCCTGACGCTAAAAATGCAATAAAAACATAATTAAAAGAAAGTGTGCCTGAGTCGGTGGTCGGTAGAGAAGTTCTTTCAGAACACGAACACTATCGATAGGTGGCCCTTGGAGGACCTGACTCGTAGAAGAAATGTCGTCCTCACCTGATTAAGAATAGGCCATGTGAGGCTGACGGACACTTATGTGTCCAGCATGCAGAGAAAGGTTGGACGATGTTCCCCACCTAATTGAAAGTTGCAATTCCTTGGCTCTATATAGAGAGACTGTAGGAATGCCACCCGATGATAATTGTGTTGAGCATGGCAGCAAATATTTGGGTCACCTGTTCTAATTTTTGGATGAAACAAGGTTGTTTTATAAGTATAATTTTATGTCCTTAGTGTGTGTTGAGAGTGAATGTATTTATTAGCGTTAATGTATAGGAGGAATATTGAGTACCATCCCAACCCTCAATTAGGTTAGTTATGCAATAGGTGCAAACAGTGCTGGAGGAATATCAAGTACTCAAACCCCTAACTGAGTGAATGGTATGTAAATAAGAAAGAACGTATTAAAGGGTGAGTGAAACTGTAAATGAGTTTGGATTGAGACTGATTGTGTTAAGGGCTGAAATAACCTAGCTATTTATAGCCCCTGGAGTCCAACCTCGGCGACTGGACAAATAAGACTGAGATATGAACCTGGATTGTCAACACCCAGGGTGGGTGATTCTACAAGGTAATTTATTGTCAATTACAAAACCTGTGGACTGTGAGAAGTGATAGACTCAACTTTGTACATGTATGAATGTATGTACATGCAGATTTGAGCGTATATAAATCAGTAACCCAATTTTGAATCTTAGATTTATTATTTGTTGTTAATCTGTATATGTGTATATAATCCCACATTACAGAGGATAAATTAAATATATATATTTGCTCACAATTTGGCGTTTTAAAGGCTCAGCAGATTGCAGTTTTTCACTATAATCCAGCCATTTTTGGATATTTGCAAGTTCCTCCATTTCGAGACGCTTTTCTTCTTTAGTTTGTTCTTCCTTGAATTTTGTGAGGAAATCTCTTTCGGAGAGGATCGCATTTCGAATTGCCATCACATACTCTTTACACGTCTTACTATACTCGAGTTTCTTCAGTTTTTTCTCAGTCTGTAAATTGTTCGAAGTTAAACAGAGGGGAGGGTGTAATTATAATTAAATTCAAATTCATATAAAAAGTGTACATACATCCCATATTAGCCACTCCTGGTATTGAGCGTCTTTAAGGGCTTTCGAGTCCATAATTTGTTTTGTAAGAGCATACACTTTCTCATTGTGCAAGTCTTGCTCCATTTGTTTGTCCTTGGTTGTATTCTGGCATCTCAAGTTGAATTTATCCTTCTGTTTTACAAAATCATTTTCCTGAAATAGCAATTGAAAAATTTAAATATTACAATAATTTATTCAGTTTTGTTTTTTGGTTTTTGTTATTTTAAATTTGGTTAGTTTTTCCATTCTAACTTTTTTGATACCATTTTCTAAACAATTAACATTACATTTAGAGAGAATACAGTAGAACAACCATCAACGTCACATCTAAGAAGCAATTGTACAAAAAAAAAGTTTGTACTAAAATTCTTTCGCTTACAAATAATTCTTAGAACTACAGACAAAAAGCTAGTGTTAAAAAAAAAATACTTGCCCTCTTCAGAAGGAGTCTTCGTTCTTTGGCTCTGTATCTGATGGCGTCCTCATTGTATTGAATCATGTTCTTCAAATCTCTTCTAAACAATTCCTTCTCCTTATCTACCTCTTTCTTATATTCCATCTCAAGCATGGCTGTTTCAAAATCCATTTTTGTACTACGAGCAGCTTCCTGCGGTTTCAGAAAATATTTATTGCAAGAAGTTAAGAATACAGAGGAAATAAATAATTTTCAAATTTAACCTTATTCTTCAATATTTTTAATTATAGAAATGTGATTTTTAATTTGACTTTGACTAAATTTACAAAAGTTGGGGGATCATTGTGGATAGTGAGGTTAGTGGTAAGGAATTTTGACAATTTTTCTAAGGACTTCTGATTGGAAGGATTGTATGCACTGGATGGTTGGAATGGATACTGGATTTCTTGATGGACCTCCCCCTCCCCAGTTCCACTCTGTATGTCCAAAGCGGTTGGAGCAATGTCTTGTACAAAGTTAGTTGTGGTTAATTGGTCCTAAAAGTTTTCATAGTCTTCTGTTAAGTTGTCTCTTAAGTCTTGTGTGGGGATTCCAAATTAATTTACTATCTAAGTATAATCCTAAGTTTCTGACTTAAACAAAAGTCACTAGCCCCTTTTTATTGACGATCAGCAGAGAGCAAGTCTTGTCTTTCACTTTTTTCACACATTTTTGATAAGCTCGAGCGTTCTTGGATGCTGGAAGTTGGAGGAAACAATTAAACTATCATAGTATTGGGTTGTATATAAAAGTATGGGATCAAGAATGCTCCCTTGCATAACACCTATATTGGTACAATATTTTCAAATGTCTCTGAAACCTTGCTGGATTGTGCACGGGAAAGCCAAATTGATGAAAAGGAGGATAGGATCTAGGATAAGTATTAAGCTCTTTAAAAAGGCATTTGAGGATTTTGGATATCACAGGAAGAATGTTGATAGATCTGAAGGAGGATATGCAGTTAGGAAGTATGTGAACTTTAGTAATGAGTATGTTTTAATTACTAATTTTTAAAAAAATCAAGTGTTCATTAATTTAAAGTACAAATTTGTCATTTTTGTGGACTTACAGCTTGTTTATCTTCCCATGCAATTTTTTTCAAGAGATCGCCCTCTGCTATTTGATTTTTAAGTAGTAGAAGCAGGTTAAGTTTTTTCTCAGCCTTTTCTTGTCTAGCATGACGTTCTTTGACAATATCAGCATCATCCTCTTTTAGATCACTTATGTAACATTTACCTTTATCAGCTATACATGGCAGTTTTCTGTTAAAAAGGAAAAGCCCATCTAACTATCTGACAATAGTACAATGCATTGTTATTTAAGAGTTTAACATACTTCAGAGCAATATTTTGTTTTATTTGTAATCCTTGTATCGCCTGAACCTGACAAGCGGCCGCTTGTTTGTTAAAATCTTTAATCTCAGGAAACTGTTCAAAAATCATGAACTTTTTGTCCAAAAGTTTTAAAGCGCATTCAGCCTCATGAACTTGAAGTTCCTAGATATAAATGCAGGTTGTAGTTAACAAAATCCAATACATAGTAAAATTAATATATTTTTACATACCTCAGGGATATCTTCTGTTTTGAAAGCAATGCCTGACTGATACATTTCCTGGTCCTTTTGACAAGCATCCCTCATATAAAATTCTCGGCCTCGCTGACTCAAAATTTGTGCCTTTAGCCTTTCCTTCGGTTGTAGATCCTTGTAAAAAATAATTAAGAAAATGTTTATGCATTTTTATAATTTTTAAATATCCCCAAAAGGGAGCAAACTTGGTACCTAGTTCTCTCCTTTTCAACTAATACACTGCTAGATAATTAGGAACTTTTTTAACTTACAACAGCTTTATTTTGCAGGGCATCAAGTTGGATTTGGTTAATCGTCAGCGGTGTCGAATACGAAGAAACTTTTGTACGGCCTTGTTTCATAAAAGTAAATCTATCATAATCTTTCAAAAGTTCCTCTCTCATTTCCGAATCGTCTTTCACTCTACTGAGCATTTTCAGTACACTTGGAGACATTTTAACATTAGAATATAACCGACTATCTGTTGAACCCATGTCAGGAGGGATTTTCATCATTTTATTAAATTGTGCCCCGCTAGGGGTTTTCTCCTTGTCTTCCTTTTTCTAAAAACAAGAACAACAATTGAAAATTAACAACGATTGAAACAAGAATTTAATTAAAACTACGGATGAGTTATTATTATTATTACTTACCCTACACATTAAGGAAAAGTAGAGTAAGATTTTTAGCAAGGCAAGAAGAAAATTTTTTATCAATCAAATTGATTTATCATTTATTTATTTATTTTTAAACAGGGGTTTGCAACAACATAGGTCACATCAACCCATAAGGTGCCGGTGTTTTGAAAAAAAGCCCCTTTGTAAGTATATCAGATTTGAAGTCAGGGCCATTGGATTTGAACCTCGGACCTTTACTTACAGTGATGAGCGCCGAGTCAACACTTTAACTGTTGTTGTCATGTAACGTTGTGATTTAAAAACAAAATAATAAATAAACACATTTCATTCGAATTTGGAAGTTAATGATACTTTTTTAAATTGTCATTTGTTTTAGAATTCTTCTTCTTCTAGAAAGAATTCTCCCCAGGGGTATGGTATCTAAGGTTCATATTGCACAAGATTGCCTTTATCAGATACCATAGTCTTTTGATGTGTCCCACTTAACACCCTTAATTGAAGGGTGTTATTCATTCGCTCAATATGGAGAGCGTGTAGGCCACCCAATATAGCGAGTACAAATAAAAATAAACATATCGAATTGAATAAATACGGTTCAACCTTCTTTCATACATCATTCAAATAATTAATAAGATTCAGAAATGAATACCTGCATGTTTTAGCTTAAATGTTGTCCTCTAAAGAATACTGAGTGCTGAAAAATGTGTGTTTATGTGTGTATACATGTGGTTATGTGTATATTTTGTGATCATTGGTGTAATGTTTGACAACAGTTTCTAAGCAACAACTATCAGATGCTTAAAATTTATTTATTATTACAATAATAATACATCCAAATAGGGGTAGTAATAATCCTTAAATTTATTTTCCTTTGAAGTTTGATCTCTCTCTAGGGGTAGGGGATAGGGATAAAAGAGGTGGCCACAAGGCCTTTATCACCATGACCTGAGTGGATCTATTGTGCTCCTCTAATTTTACAAATTACTGGCTAGCTCAGAGTGTTAATCAACCTCCATAGCCTTGCCATCAGCTCCTTAGTGTTGGATCTTACTTGCGGCTTTTCCTCTTTTAGTTGCAAGAATCTACACTTAAATAGATCCTCAGAGAAACATAAAATGTATTTTGCAGTGTCCTCTTCATCCTGGTAGTACCTGCATAGTGTTTCTTCTGTATGTACTCCTATCTGGTGCATGTGCCTTCTTAGATGGCAGTGCCCTGTCAGGAGTTCAACCAGAATCTTGGTTCTTCTGTGGTTATCCTCCAGTAGTTCTTTTTTAAGTCTTGCGGATGGTCCTTCTATGAATCTCTTTGTGTGCCTAATGCCTTGGTGTTGCTCCACAAAGTTTTGGACTCATATTAAAGATCCATAATAGGGATGATTTTTGTGGTAAGGTCCATAATAGGGTTTGGGTCGTAGAGAATTCATTTTTAGCCAATATATCCGCCCTTTCATTGCTTCTATGTCCCAAATGCCCAGGGACCCATGCCAGGATCAGGTCATTGGTGGAGACTTTTGTCAGAGATTCCATATGCTTTTCACCTTTACCTCGTATGAGGCTAAGGCCTTAAGTGTCGCTTGACTGTCAGAAAAAATGGCTAACTTCCTGGAATGTGTTCCTAGCCGTTTTAATTCTCTTCTGTGGTTTCAGACTGGAAAACAATATCACATTTACCTAAGTTTAAAGTCAGTTCGGTCTTCAGATTCATCCTGAGGACTCCAGCTCTCACGCCTCTATGCGATTTTGTACCTTCAATACAGCTGTAGGAATTGGCTTTTAGAGGTATTCCTTTGACCCACTTTGGCCCTTCTGGTATTAATATCTTGTACTTGTTGTTGAAGTTATATTTTGGAGTAGTGGCATTGATTGGTATATCTAATATGGTATCTGCTTGTATCTCCTCTCTCAGTTTCCATGTTTGTTGACATGCATATCCTTGCAGCTGGTTGTCCCTTTATGAACCCATGAGCTGCTGCTCTGGCTTCTCCTTGGATTAGAATGTGAAGCGGTGGAAGTTTTAACAACACCTCCAGGTTGCAGTAGGCGTTGTTCTCATGAATCCAGTGACACTGAGGGAAACTTGTCTTTGAGTGCAACTTAATAGCCTAATGGCTTTAGCCTGCAAAGTCTTGGTCACTACACCACCAACACATATGTCAACCAGAACGTACTCCACCTTTTTAGTGGTGCAATTGCTTTTTTGACGGATTGGTAAGGTGGAAAAATTTAAAACTTAAGGAAATTTCGAATGAATTTATTAAAGTTTTTTAAATTGGGTTAGATACTGAAATAGTGCAATCGTTTACTTATTTACCAACACGATTGCAACTTTGATTAAAGGATTATTTTATTATTATTCCCCGGGATAAAAGAGTTTTAAAATTCAAAATGTTTTTAGTGCATTCTTTCAATATTTCCTTACGTTTTTTTTATTATTATTATTATTAATCTTTCTACTTTACCAATCCATCAACCGTGGTTATTTTACTTTCCTTCATCAATTTCTTCATCTTTAAAAAAAATTATTAAAAAGCAATTACACCACTAAAACGGATATTAAATGGAGTATGCTTCTGAAATTTGCTGGTCTCTGTGTTTGAAAATAGTAGTTTAGAATCACCATAGTAAGTTTTTCAATTTTGAAAAAAAATTTCAAATTCTGGCTACTAAAGCATATTTCATCATCACAAGTTTAGTATCGATCACATCTTATTGGAAATTTTATGTAGTTTTCAATTTTTTGTAGATTTATCGACCAGTTTATGCAGATAATGTTCCCTTGGTTATCAGGGATGTGATCAAATAAAATATTTTTAATTTTAAATCTTTGCCTACCTTTCGGAACTTTATTGTACGTTCTTCAGGGCTTGATTTTTCACTCTAGTCATTGTTGTTTTTAATTTTATTTTTATTTCTACTGTCTTTGATATTAGATGAAACTAGTCTAGTCATTTCATAGTTGAAAAGGCGGAGAAAAAAGTGAGAAAAGAATCTTTCAGTGTTAGCATGAAAATACAATAATTCAAGTTTATTTACTTCTGACTAAAAATCAAGCCCTGAAGGAGGTACAATAAAGTTATGAAAGCTAGGCGAAGATTTAAAATTAAAAATATTTTATTTGACCACATCCCTGATAAACAAGTGAACAATAGTTTTCAATTGTATCAACGGACTGGTCCAAAACCTTTTCATTTTTTGGTTTATCATCGTTTATTTATAGCAAGGTTGGGAAATCATAAAAAAATCAGAAAAAAGAGGAATAACTCCTCATCTATTGAGATTCGAACCATAGTTAATTAGGACTTTTTGGTTCTTTTTTGAATGTACACCCTGTATTTGAGTAGGACTATTGTGACATCATCGTTGACAAACCGATCTCGAAGCTCAGCCTTGAAAGCTGGAGGGGTGGCTGGCTTTGGCTCGAATTCTCAAAGAGCCACAATTTCCACGTTAACCTTCCATAGTTTATAAAAAAAGTTATGAAAACATTCAGTGCTCCAACATCCAAGAGGAAGGCATTTGAAATTATTTATAGAAATCTATGAAATATCTGGAAGGTGGGTGAAATAGTATTTTCTTTCCCGTTTTTAAGATCATTTCTGACTGCCGTAGCGCGGATCCGCTCTCGAAACGGATCAGAAACGCTTGTGTCAGTTTGTCAGAACGGATTTATGCCATCTCCTTTCCTCCGTCCTCGAACATAACCCGTGGTATCGGCTCTTATTATAATTCCGAATACGTTCCGCCGACTCGATTCGATCCAAATCCATGTTATATTGTTAAAATAGCCTTGCAATTAAATGTGAAATATGTTTATGAGATATCACATAAATAATCCCCTCCATTTTTGTTCTGTAACATAATACAACAGATGCATATTTTCTTCACCTCCAGAACGCATCTTTAACTGAAACCAAAAATAGGACTTTCCATGTTGTTTAATAAAACAACAAGTTTTATTATTATTTGTATAAATAGAAACCAATAGAAATTATTATATTGGAAACTCTCCCTTGAACATTGATGTAGAAAACAGATGCACACCACTTTTATGGCGGTGCTTGTCTGGGTTCCTGAATGCCTAAGTTTGGAGGATAATAACCTCCAGGCCTGACGTGTGATCCGGCCCTTCAATACTAAAATTACAATACACAATATTAAAAGGAAATGGCAGCGACAGTGGGTCGCAACCGCAAAGATGCTCTACGGATGAAAAGCATGGCTGATGGACTTCGGAGAATTTGAATCAACTAAGAGGGATCATTCTTGCCAATTAAGGATAAGCCATGCGAGGTTGACATGGATGCTTACTTGTGAGCCACAGTGTATGTATGTGTCCTGTGAGTAGAGAAAGATTGCTCGATTTGTCCCACTTACTTGACCTGCAAATGATGCAGCTAAAGTCAGGGCATCCTTACCACTGGATCTGGCGAGCAATCCAGCTCTCAGACATTAAAAATGCATTTCAAAAGGAAAAGGCAGTGTCAGTGAGTCATATGGGCAGAGAAGATCATCTGTAGTTAGAACACAGTAGATAGCCCTTGAATGATATAAATCTTCAAAGTGAGATCATTCTAGCCGAATTTAAAATAAGCTATGTGAGGTTGACATCCAGTGTGTAGATGGAGATCACTCAATGTATCCTACTTAATTGACCTGCGGATGAAGCAGCTAAAGATGGGACATCCTGACTTCTGGGCTCGACGAGGGATCCGGCACTCAGACACCAAAATTGCAATACAAAAGATCGAAAGGAAATGACAGCGACAGTGAGTCGCAATGGCAGAGAAGCTCATACTTATCAAGAGCATGGTTGATGGACCTCGGAGAATCTGAATCAATTAAGAGAGATCATTCTTCCCAATTAAGGATACGGATGTTTATTTGTGAGCCACATTGTATGTGTCCTGCATGTAGAGAAAGATTGCTCGATGTTTCCCACTTACTTGATTTGCAGATGATGAGCTAAAGTCAAGGCATCGTGACCACCAGACCTGATGATCGATCCAGCCCTGAGACACTAAAATTACAATACAAAAGATTGAAAGAAAATGGCAGCAACAGTAAGTCGCAATGGCAGAGAAACTAGTACATATCAAGAGCATGGCTGATGGACCTCAAAGAATCTGAATCACTTAAGAGACATCAATCTTGCCCAATTTAGAATAAGCTATGTGATGTTGAAACAGAACCTACTTTTTGGCCAAAGAGTATCTGTCCAGGGTGTAGACGAATATTGCTCTATGTATCCTACCTAGTAAACCCATGGATGAGGCAGCTAAAGATGGGACTCCTGAGCGATTCAACCCATCAGACACTAAAAAAGCAATACAAAAAAATGGTAGTGTCAGTGGGTCGGATCGGCATAGAAGCTTATGTCTACAAGAGCATGGTCATTTGACCTCAGATAATCTGAATTATCAAAATGTGATCATTTTTGCCCCATTAAGAATAAGCCATGTGAGGTTGGCACGGACACCTATTTTGTAGCAAAGAGTATGTGTTCAGCTTGTAGAGAAAAATTGCTCGATGTGTCTCATTTAATTTACCTGCAGAAGATCAAGCCACAGTCGGGACATCCTAACCTCCAGACCTGACAAGCGATCCAGCCCTCAGACACTAAAAATGGATTACAAAAGGAAATGGCAGTGTCAATGGCTTGGTCGGCATAGAAGCTCATATGTACAAGGCCATGGTCGATTGACCTCAGAGAATCTATATTATCAAAGAGGGATAATTCTTGCCCAATTCAGAATGTGCCATGTGAGGTTGGCACAGACACCTATTTTGGGCCAAAGGGTAAGTGTTCAGCTTGTACAGAAAGGTTGCTTTATCCTACTTAATTCAGCCTCAGATGCTGCAGCTAAGGTGATCTCTGGACCTGACAAGTAATCTGACCTGTCTTTGGCAAGAATGATCTTTCTTCAACCCTCTGAGGCCATCGACCGTGCTTTTCATACTACCCAGTGACATTTTCATTTCCTTTTGTATCACATTTTTAGCATCTGAGGTCCAGGATCGCTCGTCATGTCTCTGCCAACCTTGCAGTTATTATTCTGATTCCTACCCTCCTGACCTCATGCGCAATCCATCCCTCAGATGTTAAAAATGTAAAAATAAGCCATGCAAGATTCACACATAATCTACTTTTGGACCAAAGTGTGTCTGGTGTGTAGACAAAAATTGCTCGATGTATCCCACCTAATTGACCGGCGGACACAGCAGCTAAGGTCAGGACATCCTACTTCTAGATCTCCGGCCCTCAGATGCTTAAAATGCTATCAAAAATATAATCAAAAGGAAGTGACAGTGTTTATGGGTCGTATTAATAGCATGGTCAATGACCATCTGGAGGATCTGAATCATCAAAGAGAGATCTTGCATGATGATGATTGCCCTCTGTTCCGATTTTTGTAGGAAAAAGGGAAATTTTTAGTACATATAAATATTTTTATCGTAGTTAATTAATGCTTATATAAATAGTTTGGTGATACATTTATTCTGTTTTATGTGAATGTATTTATTAATGTGAATGTGTGTGTGCGTGTGTGTGTGTGTGTAGTGAGAGAGAGAGAGAGAGAGAGAGAGAGAGAGAGAGAGAGAGAGAGAGAGATAGGCAGGTGAAAACTACATGCATAGCTGGAAACAACCTTATACCACTTTTTTCTTCTTTTTTTTTTAATAAGGAAAATAGCGCTGTTTCATTGTACATATTACTTATTAGATATCTTGTTTTTGTTTCCTTTTGTGTATATTGAGAGTTGAATAGTACTATTAAATAGCATGAATGTATTTAATAGTGTGAGAGCCGATGGTGGATTGTTGATTAGCCCTTCATCCTTCAATCCTTCAATTGGGTTAGTTATAGATAGTATTTGTAAATTGTGATGGATTATAGATTTATTCTGTACATGTGTGCGAAATTCATTATAATGCTAGTAATTAAGTTTATATTGGATAGATATTTTTTCTTTTAATTACTTCATTTAAATACTAGTAACACAGTTTGACATGGTGTCCCTTGAAGAGAGCTGATGTTCATTTGGTTTCAAAACTTTCCAGCATTACATTATAGTATAAGGTGACAGGGCGGGTTCTTAGGATGGGAAAGTGTAGAGACAACTGGGAGGTAAGGATAGTATGGATTGAAAGCTTGGTGTTGAACTTTAGGAAGTGAGTTTAGATAATTTCATCAACAAAAATATTGTTGAAGTTATTGTGAGTTTAGTGAGGTAGTAAAGAGTTTTGACAATTGTAGGACTTTTTATTGGAAGGATTGGATTCAATGACACCCCACCATCAAAACAGATTTCAGTTCTAAAAATCTTCACACCTGTCCAAGCCTCCTGTTGTCTCTTAAGTTTCGTCCGGGGATCCCTCATCAGTCTGTTGTCTTGGTATAGAAGTCGGTAGTTACTTGTTATTGTTGCACAGTGGAGGGGAAAATTTTTGTTTTTAAATATATACCGGTGCATTTTTCCTCGTTCATTCTTGTCCTCCACCTTTAATACCAGTCTGATAAACTCAAGGTATTCTTTGATATTGGATCAGTGTGTAGAATGAGAGGGTAGAGGAATAAGTCTTGGGCGAACAGTTATCTAGAAAGGAATGTTCAAGATTGAGTGAGATGATATATTAATAATATTAATTAGGTTAACTTCTTGTATTGTGGGCTGAAATGACGTAGCTGTCGATAGCCCTATAGCCTATCGAGTATTGTCCATTGGGCAGGATGGACAATACTGAGGTCTGATTTTGGAAACTGGAACCATTAGTGGATTAGATGATTCTCACAAAAATTCTAATTACAAGGCTAATGCTGAGATGTAAACCCTCAACCATTAAGTGTCAGATTTAAGAATTGGGCACTGCAATACACCTTATTTTCAATAATAATTATTCAGATATCATGAGATGCGGTCGGGTGTGATGTAGGTTTCAGAAAGACATTTTCTTTATCGTGCCAACGTTCGATCTTTTATTGAGATCATCTTCAGGGCTCAAAGTGTTTGTCTTCTGTGTAATTGTGCCATCCTTGCGTGTCGTGTTGAGAGTGCCCATGACACTCAAGGATGGCACAATTACACAGAAGACAAACACTTTGAGCCGTGAAGATGATCTCAATAAAAGATCGAAACATTGGCACGATAAAGAAAATGTTTTTCTGAAACCTACATCACACCCAACCGCATCTCACAATATCTGAATAACTATCGATTAACGGTCATTAATCTCTACACATTTCAATAATAATTTTTAAACATAAAATTTAGAATGATGTTTTAAAAATTTTAATAATGTTTTATTAACAGTCTTTAAATTCAGCTTCAGAAAGATATGATCAAAGATAAGCAGCGAGATAAAAAGAAAAATGGTGGCACCAGTGGCAACGTCTTTGAAAATACACCTACACCAAGTAGTACCACTAGTGAAAACAGGGAAGAATGCAGTAAAAAAGAGGAAAAGGGTCCGGATGTGAAAGAAGAACCCGAAGAGAATGAGGCCCCCGAAAACAAAAGTTCGCACAATTCACCATTGGAAGAAATCAAATCTTCGCCTGCACAACAGTCCGAGAGTAGGTCAACAAGCACCAGTATATTTTATATTTATTATACAATTTAATTTTTTAGACTCTTGCGAAGGCGTCGGTGGCGTGTTGCATAACATTGGAATCCCTTCTGAAGGACTGCACGAAGGCGTGCAGCCTCTTCCTAGCAATGTCGTTAATAAACAACCGGTTACAATGGAAGCGCAATATATGCAACAGCAAAGTCAGATATTCGTCTTTTCTACATCACTGGCGAACAAAGCTGCAGAAACAGTTATTCAGGGCCAATTTGCTTCTATAATCGCATACCATTGTGCGCAACCAAGGACAAAGAAATATTTAGAAGTAAGTTTAACAGTTTAGTGTATTAAAATAATTTTAATAAATATTTTCAATAGTTTTTTCTTTAACTGTTCAATTATGCATTATTGCTGAGAGTGCAGAAAATTGTCATTTCAAAACCTGTTAATGATGTTTAGGGGACTAATCAACAAAATCAGATCATGCCCAACCAGTGTAGCAACGCAAACATGAACATGGATCAAAATACAGCCAAAAATACAATGAACAGCCACCATAATTTAATGCAATCTCATAACACACCTATGTTGCCCGATGGAATGATGTCAACTTTAGGGGAATTAAACCAAGATATAAATTTAACTACACCCCAGCCTTTAGCAGGTAAATATTAGTATACGAAATAACTATTTATACTGTCTTGGAATTGTAAATAAGTTGGTTTTAAATTAATTACGATTTTTAAGAAGTAGATTTTGTCACGAGTAGGTTGTTCAATCAAATTTAAATAACACATTTATTGCACAGAATTATTCAAAATGAACAGGCATAAAATGTCTTATAGGAAATAATCTATTATAAGTATTTAGGTTGCATTGCATCAGTGTAGAAAAAAAAATTTAAAAATCCTGGCACCCGGGCAGGATTTATAAACTTAAATTCTTCCTATCCAATCCTTATTAACTTATCCTGAAATCCTAACAGATTTTTGCTTCAGAATGAGCAGCAAGCTCTTAGAAATCAGACAGATACAAGCCGGTGTCCCTCAAGGGAGCATTCTTCGTCCCATCATATACCATCCACGCTGCTGACCGGCACCTCCTAATACCATCATCACCACCTATAGGGACAATAGCACAATTTTGTCCTTTAACTCGAATTCTTTCCAAGCTAGCTCCATTGCACAAGATGACCATGAGCTTACTGAAGACTGGTGCAAAAAGCGACAAGACTGAATGAAGGCAAATTTACTGTGTTCACATTGGGGGACCAGTCTTGCTCTCCACAGTACATCAACAACAAAGAAATTCCAACTTCTGTTTAAGTCAAACACTTAGGACTATACCTGGACAACAGGCCAGACTTAAGAGGCAACATTTTAACAGAAGTAGGGCAGCTACGAAGACCAAAATCTATCTTAACCATCAACACTCAACTAACCTTATAAGAGACTTCACTGCAACTACTTTTGACAGAGTGGAATTGTGAGGTCCTGCTATAAGAGGTTACTTGGCTTGAAAGGCTTGAACAACAGTCGCCCGGTGGTGCCATTGTTGGACGATCTTACCTTGCTCCCTCACAAGACTTTTTTAAAGAGGATATTCCAACTATGAAGTTGTAGAACCCTCAAGGTGCTGATTTTCAAAAAAAAAAAAAAAAATTATAAGTATGTTGGGTTTGAATGTAGGACCTTCACATTACAGTGATTAGCTCCATGTTGCGGCCACTCATGCCCCCACAATAAGTCTTAAACTTTAAATAGATTTTTCTATTGTTTTTGTGTTTTTTCTTTAATTACATTAAGCATTTTACGTCTGATTATTATGTGTATATTAAACAAAATCTTTTTTTTTTAGGTGTTAAAGTACCTGATGAAAATTTGACACCACAGCAAAGGCAACATCGAGAGGAACAACTTGCAACATTGAGAAAAATGCAGCAAATCCTTTTTCCTGAAGCTCTCCCCGGCCCGGAGGAAAATGCCCACGTCGAAAATCCTTTACCTGAAAATATTGATATGAACAAACCCCCGTCTAATCATTCAGATTGGCATAAACTTCAAATGCAACTTAATGACGATCAAAAAAATCGTAAAAATAGAGCGAGCGGACCCCCTCCGAGTTATCAGCAAGCTACAAGATCTGCAAGTGTCCCTATTGCACTTCAAAGCCCTAACCCAAGCTCCCCTAATAATACAACCTCAAATCTTTCACTCCCTTCGCCCAGAACGTGTTCTGGGATTAATTCACCGGCTGATAAAGTTTCAAACAGGATTCCTGGGCCAAGCCCGACAATGGAATCCCCTAATCCAGTAAGGAATGCTAACTCAAATCCACCGACACCCGTTTCAAGTCACCTTTCTCCTAAGCATAAAGACAAGATTAATGCTTCTAATGAATTTTCACCTTCTAGTACAGTTTCTGCACAAAACTCACAACAGTCGCCTGGTATGTATTGCTTTTTACACATTTATTACTTTTTTTTTTTTACAAGTACTGTTGTTGGTGCAAAATTAATGCAGGTTTTGAAAATTTGTTTTATTTTTTCAGGTGCTTGTCATATAAGCAAAGCTAAATACTTTATAATAATTTATGGATCATAATAAATACTTTTAACTGTTATCTTTTATATAAAACGTTTTAGTTTATGTTGAATTCTATAAACGTCCAAACTAGATTTTTGTCAAATTTGTTTGTACGAATTTAAACTTAGGTGAACTGCGGCCCAAATTGCTCGTAATATCAATACAGTTTGGAAGGAGAGAAACATTTGCGAATGCATGATGCAGCGATGATTTCAGAGATTTCGTCTTGGAGATTTTGATCTCGATCATTGAAGAAAATTCATGTAAGACAACATGGCATATTGTGGAAGAACTTAGTGGTAGCCAATCAAGTGTTGTTCTCCATCTGGAGCAAATTGGTAAAGAAAAGAAGCTCGACTAGTGAGTACTGCACGATCTAACCGAAGCCCAAAGAAATCAACACTTTGAAATTTCCACTTCTCTTCAGTTGTGCCACCTAAATGATCCATTTCTTGATCAAAACATCACGTGCAACGAGAAATGGATTCTGTATGATAACGTGGTGTGTACAGGTTAGTGGTTGGACAAGGATGAAGCACCAAAACACTTCCCGAAAACAAATCTGCACCGAAAAAGGTTATGGTGATTGGTGGTGTAGTGCTGGAGTTGTCCACTAAAAAATCCTGAATCATGATGAAAATATCACATCAGATAAATATTGCCAAGGAATTGACAAAATGCAACATCTTTGGCCAGCATTGGTAAACCATCAGGGGCCAATTCTTCTTCACAATAATGCCACAATACCAACCCTGCGGAAACTTAAGGACTTAGGACTTATCAAACCTTGCTGTACCCTCCATATTCACTGACAGCCATCCACTTTTTTAGGCATTTGATCACTTCAAGGATAAAATTTTTAGAGAGCACGGTGAAGACGAAAACGCCTTCCAAGACTTTATTGTGAGTCGAAATGAAGATTTTTATGTCAGCGGAATAAAAGTGAAATGAAATAGATGGTACAATAACAGGAGGCATACAGGTCAGTAGTTGGACAAGGATGATGCACCAAAACACTTCCTGAAACCAAATCTGCACCCAAAAAAGATTATGGTGACTGTTTGGTCGTGTACTGCTGGGGTTTTTATTATAATTAACTGAATTACGGTGAAAATATCAAGCCATGGCCAGGCCACATGTCACAATGCAAACCTGCAGAAACTTAAGGAGATAAGATATAAAACCTTACCGCACCCTCCTTATTCACCATACCTCTCGCCTAGACTTCCACTGTTTTAGGCATTTTGATTATTTCTTGAGGGATAAAATTTTTAGAGAATGCAGTGAAGCCGAAATCACTTTCGAAGACTATTGTGAGTTGAAATAAAGATTTTTATGTCAGTCAGCAGAATCAAAGTGCATAAAAAAAAAATTATGACACGTAGGCAAATGTGTATAGATTGTGATGGAAAAGATTTTGAATAAATTTTCTTTATTTTATAAAAATTAAAATTAGTTTTGGCTGCCTTTTCAAAACCTGCATTATTTTTGCACCAGCCCAATTTATTTAAATTTTATAACAATGATTTATTTATTATTTTGTTGAGATTTCATTTTTTTTTATTTTATCTCAAACAAAATATGATGAACCTCCTTTTAACAGATTTTAATTAAAACTTTTATTTAAAATATTTAATGAAAAACAGAAAATTTTAGGAATTTAGTAGGTATTCTCACCCAATTTTTATTCAGTCTGGAATTGGCCATAAAGAACAGATCTTGGAGCTCAATTTTATTTACTGTCACCCCTCTGTAGTCAACTCATATTAATAATAATTAAAAGACCTATTTCGGAGGCTTTAGTTTTATAAAAATAAGAAACACTAAAAAGAATTTGCCTTGTGATTGATTGTGATTGCATCACGAGCATAAAATGTCTTTAAAAAAAGGGCTATGAACATTGGATCACCAATTTAAATTAAACTTTTTTTTTTTGGTGATAGTAGGTTGAAAACTATTAGACAGTCCCAGCATTCTTGCTAATTGGGCCTAGGAGCTTAGAAACAAAACTACGTAATTATTTAAATAGTATTTTTCTGCCTTTGGTTGGTATGTATTTAAAGGTGATTATATCAGTATATTTGTATATTTATGTAGAATAAGAAAATAATATGTGCGATTGTATTAAATGAGGTTAGATACATATAAAAAGTTGCAAAAAACAATACAAATGCTTTCAGTAAAGTAGTCCAAAAAATTTCTTTTTAAAAAAATTGCATTTGTTTTAAGTACCTCTTAAAGCTCTTATATATGGATTTTAATTGCAATCAAAAGATAGGCATTTTTGGGCTGGATTAACCCAGGAGAAATTTTTTTCTCTCCTGAATCCTGTAGCCCCAGTTAAAATTCATCTCCTCTGGATTTTTATCAAAATTCAATGTTATTACAATCATTGGAATGCAGAATGTCTTTTCCTTCAGGCTATGTCAATTTATGCCATTATAATTGAGAAAAATAAGGATAAAATCAACAAAAAAAAAACTATCAAATGTTTTATTATATTTTGCTTAGCCTAATTTATTTACAGAGGCCAGGTTTATGCCAGATAGTATAGTTTATAAAGGTTCTAAACACCTGTAAAGTTTCCTTTGTTAACTGAGTTGTTGCAGTTATACCCTGTGATTTGGTGATTTTCAAAAAAAAAAAAAAAAACTTAAGGCATTTGGATGGAAGGCTTAAGGGGGAAAATATTAATTTTTTTCTCCAAAAATTTGTATTCAGGGTTTTTTTAATGCAAATATAAATTTAGTTTCATAGCAAATAAATATTTGAACCTACTTTGCCATGTCGCTCGATCACGAAATGTATATTATTAATATCAAATTAATCCATATTTGCTTAGTGGTTATAATTGACCATGTTAATTATTCTTTTTATCTAAGGTTTTTGGTTTAGTTAAAAAATTAATGTCATGAGTGGGATTCGAACCCACGACCTTCAGCTCAATACGCCGTTGCTCTGACTACTTTTCACCTCAACAAAAAACCTTAGATAAAAAGAATAATTAATTGGAATTATTAAATCTATGATGCCCAAACTTTGGTTAGAAGTGTATTTGAATTACAATTTTTTCTTATAATAATTTATATATGGTTTTTTTCAAATAGGTTTATTATATATAATGCTGCGATGTGTTTATAGCAAACAAAAAAATTAACATTTTTAGGCTGGATTAGTCTGAGCAATTTTTTGTTGACTCGGATTGCACAGTGTCCCACTTATAAAATTAATATCTTCAGGATTTTATCCAAATCCAACATTAGTACAACAGTTGGAAAGCTGGAATGTTCTATTTTCAGCTTGTATTAACAGATTTTATGTCGTTATAAATGAGGAAATTAAGGATGAAATTTAAAAAAAACACCTCAGATGTTTTATTTTATATCTCCGGTTATAATTTATTTGCAGAGGCAACGTCTATACCGTTACATATAGTTTATAAGGTGATAAGTCTTTATAAAGTTTCCTGTAGATTGGAGGAGTCGTTTCAAAGTTTACATCATTTTTGTGATTTTTGAAAGAAAAAAAAAATTGAAGTCAATGTAAGGCAAATAGGTTGAAAGAAAAAATAAATTTTAGACTCCCAAAATTTATATTCAGGGGTTTTTGAGGGTGCAGAAAATGAGCAACAACTTAGTTTCTTCTTTTAAAAGAATATATATTTTAGCCATCTTTGCTACTTCTCTCGATCACAAATTATGTATTGTATTTCAATAGGCAGCATGAATATCCTCACAATAATTGCGCAATTGATTATTTTTACAAAGTAACTTAAAATATTTTTTATTAAACAAGTGACAAAGGTGATATTTTCCAGTTTTTCACCAAAAATATTTTGTTGGAGAACTTGAAATACAGGAACGAAGGAAAAAAAAAACTATTTAAATTACTTAAAATATTTTTTTATGGCACCTAGAGCCTATTGACAAGAATGTTGGACACGTGACTAAATTTTTAGGCCAGGTATCATCAAAAAAGATTCATTGAAATCTGTGATCCCAGTCCTTAGCCTCCCCTTGTTTTATTCATTTATCATACTAATTGAAAATATGTATTATGTACAACATAATTTTTTTTTTAATACCATATTTTAAACCCTTCTGAATGAGGACAAAGCCGTGTTCGTAGAGGGGTTTCACTTTATTTACAAACTTATTTAGAAGAAAAAAAATCCAATCCAAGACTTCGATTGGAACTGGTCATTTCTTGCATATCAAACTTAGTGTTTAACCAATTAAACTCCCACAATTTGAAATTTTTATACTTGGTGTATTATATAATTAATTACACATTAATAAAATGAAATGATTTCTATTTTTAAAAAATTACTCAATTTATTTCATTAATCCATTGTGGACATTGTTTTTTTTCCAGTTGATTCTCTGTACTGTAGATCAGTGCAATCCATTGGAGGACAAAAACAAGGATCAAATACTGGAAAGGAGCCGAATTTAATGCCTGTGCCATCCCCTCAGCAAATACAATATTTAAATGCATTCGAAGGGCAAGAATTGACCATTCAAAAACAACCTAATACAAGCTTAAAAGAAACGGGAAGAAAAACACCAGTGTATGTATAACTACAATCTATTTTTTACTACGAGTATTTTATTTATTTTGATGAGGCCAATTAGAACATTTTTACCTACTTAAAATCTTTTTATAACATTGAATATGATCTAAATTTACTTTTTATCTAAGGTCTTGGTTGAGATGTAAAAGCTCAGACACTAGCTTTTTCGCTTCAAACAAGACCTTAGATAAAAAGTAAAATTAATTTGAATTAATTAAGGTTTTTTAGTTGAGATGAAATCCACTCGGACATCAACTCCCCATCTCAACCCCACCTTATGAGTTTTCCCTCCTTTTCCCATTTTTCAAATGTCGTGTAATCAGTTTGGATTCTCGACGACAATTGAAATGGCGACGGAGAGCTTTAGTGAAGTGTACTTCATTTTAATTCATTAAATTCACTATTTTCGTGGTCCGCTTGACCAATTAAACATTACAATTAATTAAGGTTTTTAGTTGAGATGAAAAAAAGTCAGTTGACTTTTTTTCATATCATTACTATATGCAATAAAACAACCCTGTTTCCTCCATGAATTGGAACCACAAAGAAAATAAAAATAGGGGACCCCCATATACTCGCTGCTGCGCAATTCTTATATCGGGTGGCATTCTTACGCATCCTCTATATGGAGCCGAGGAACCCTGTCAATTAAGTGGGATTGAGTAACTTTTCTCTGCATCTCGGACATGTACATGTGCTTTGGCCCAAAAGTAAGTGTCCATGAGTTAACCGACCTTAATCAGATGAAGATGACCCTTCTACAAATCAGATCCTCCTGAGGCCACACGGTGTTCTTGATTCATGTGATCTTCTCTGCCAATCTGACCCATCTCGGTTTCTGTGTTTAAGAGAATAATATATTTCATTAATTTAATTACTAATAGTAATTTAAGTTCATAACTATAACTTTATAACATGGGAAACAGAAAAGGACTGAAAGATGGCATTGCCTTCAGTTCCGCTACTCATGTTGGACGATTAAGTTTTCATTCAATCATCGGCCTGTTCAGTCTTAACTGACAGATCAACTGGACCCCATTCGCATTCAGGCACAAGCCGGCCGGATGGGGGGCCCTTTGTTTAAGGAGTACTAGGTCATTTACTTATCATTGCTCCAATTTCTTTCCCTGGGTTTTTGTCATTTCCCAGGTTATGTCTCCATTGAGCAGTTGCTTCACATCCAAAGATGATATGGGTGATTGTTTCTTCCTCATCATTGCATAACCTACATGGAGTCATTATTGAATATACTCATGTTATGTAGATATTTTCCCAGATGGCAGTGTCTGGTGGTCCACTTCTCTGATTTTCGCCTTGTCTAACTGTAGCAGTGAGTTTGCTAGCCTTGGTGAGTGTTAGCTTACTATGTCTAGCATCTTTATAGTTTATCCACTTCTCCTTTTTTTTAATCCATTCTGTGATGGAGAATTCTGTTTTTTTCCCCCTTTAATGAGTTTATTTCTTCTTCTCGTTTGCAGTCGGTTGAGACTATAGGATGATGTAAAGTGTTTCTGGGATCATGTAGTCAGTCCCCATTTCTAAGAATGGGTGCCTGATTTTATTAAATACTGTTGCGTCCCCGAAGTGTTTAGTTCCCATCCAGTTTGATTGTATCTGGAGCCTAAATGAGCTTTTCCTCGTTTCTCTGTTTATAAATATTTCTGATGAAGGTTTAGCAGAGTTTCTCATACAATTGACGGGGTTGTTTTCATTGCCCTTGTGATACAACATTGAATATAGTGATTATTTGTAGAACGTGAGATGCGGTCTGGTATGATGTAGGTTTTAGAAAAACATTGTCTTTATCATGCCAAAGAAAGAAACAAACAAAAAGAAAATGTTTTTTTAAAACCTACGTCATACCAGACCACATCTCATAATTTCCAAATAATCATTAACTAACGGTCATTAAACACCACACATTGAATATAATCAGGGTCATCAGTGGCCACAACAGTTTATGCGTTGACATGGCGCGCATCACTGTAAGGTAAAGGTCACGGGTTTGAATCCAGCAGCCCCATACTTACAATTGGGCTTTTTTTTTTTTTTTTTTTTTTTTTTTTNTCACTAGTTTTGTGGTCCGCTTGACCAATTAATATCTTACAATTAATTAAGGTTTTCAGTTGAGATAAAAAAGTCAATGGCATGAGCGGGATTCGAACCCACGATCTTCGGCCATTTCATTTGTTGCCAAGAATCAAATTGATTACAAGACATTTGAAAAATGGCAAAAAGGAGGGAAAATTCAAAAGGTGTGGTTGAGATGGGAGGTCGGTGTCCGAGTGGATCGAGGTCACGATAGCTCAAGTAGTAGAGCAGCGGCATATCAAGCCGAAGATCGTGGGTTCGAATCCCGCTCGTGCCATTGACTTTTTTATCTCAACTGAAAATCTTAATGAATTGTAAGATTATTACATAGGCTATTTTCAATGTTTAAATGAAGGAATGGAGTGTTTTCTTTCAAATTGGCCTTATCCCTGATTTTTAATTAATATAAAATGATAATATTGAAAACTTATGCTAATTATATTGGATATAATTTTGGATTATGTGGAAATGTAAATTAATGAAGAAAAATTGCACACCCCTTGATTAAGAAAGTCAATTATTAATTTATATACGTTATTTATTTAATTTTCAAAATATTTATTTTTGTTATTGTTAAGTTTTATATAAAATTAATAAGTTATTTTATTTATAGGACGCCACCTACTAGCTTAGAGGGGGTCTTACCTGCCACATCTAGTGGTATCACGGGTGATAGTGGGAGTAGTGGAGCTAATAATGGTGTCCCCAGTTCTGTTGGTGTGGGGACTGGTGCTGGGACCGACGGTGGCCCTGGCAGTGGGAATTATCCATGTATCGGTCCTGACAATGTGCCATTGAATCCGAACAGGATTAGCGTATCGGCTGCGAATAAATCGTCTCATTTTGATCCAATTAGCTCTTTGGCGCAAATGAGCCAACAGCTCACGAACAACGTACCTAATTCACCTGTCAACCAGCCGAACCTCATGCCGAATATGCATCAAAACATGGTATCTTTTAATTCCCCGAATTCGAATCAACATTTGATGTCGATGGCCGATTTGCACCACATGCCCAATCCTCCTCCAGATCATAGAATACAAAACCAGATGCAATCTCATTTCGGCGCTCAAAGAGCTCAGTGTACTAGTGCCATGTCACCTGGAATATCAGTTTCTCCTAAGATGATGCAAGGATACGGTGTAGCTCAAAGACCTATGACGAGACCCATAGGATATAACGGCGCGAATATTCAGGTCAAGCCAAACGCTCCTAATACCATCCAGTATCTCCCATCTAGGCCTCAGTCTACACCAGGCCCAAGAGCACCTCCTAGTTTAGAATTTTTGCAGCGCTTTTCAAACCCACTCTCTAATTTAGACGCAAAAGTTCCAACTCATAATTTGCAGTATTTTCCCAACAATTACCCTCAAAATAATATGAACGATATGGGAATGTGTAATCCTCATGTTAATATCAGAGGACCGATACGAAACGCGAATCCCGGTATGATGAGAATGCAAGGGCCACAAATGGCACCGATGGGTTTCAACAATTCGGAAGGATTTCAAAATGCAAATTGTCAAATTTTTGGACCGCCGTCTAAAAACACTTCGATGGGATTAGCACCCGATGCGAGCCAACCATTACCACCTTCGATGGGCCAAGGCAATAATTTCAAAAATTCTACCTTTATCGGTCCCACTACTGCAGATCCAAATTATGCCCAACAGTTTCACAACTTTCAGCAACAACTGTATGCTACGAACACAACAAGAGGTCAGTTGAATAATCAAGCGATGGGTGGGAATCAGCATTATTTTGTGCCTAAATAATAAAATTAATCATAAACTCTTGGTTTTTTATTGTTTATTAAATATATATATATTATTTTTAATTTAGGGGTATTCATAATTTTTTTTATTATTGTTATTTCTTTAATTGGTTGTCCTATTGGAAATTTTTGTATGGATACACAATCTGAAAAGAATTCATGAAATGACAAGACTTAAAATCTGAATACCATAGATCTGGCATAATATATTGTATCGTTGCATTTGTAAAGTAATTAAAGTAAAATCCCAATACCGCATAGTGAATGAAAATACTAAAATAAATTGCGTCTTAATTAATTAAAACATTGAACAGGCACATCTAAAATTGCATGTACATTTTTATCTTATCAGATCACAGACCTCACCAAAATATTTTACAATTTAAATACATTTTGCAAAGTGTGTTCTGTGTACAAGACTGACGTAGAAACTAATTAATACAGAAATCCTTCTAAAATTGATTATGAATAGTCTAAAAAAAGTATTGTTAATAACCATTAACTTATTCTTGATCTTATATTGTCAAATGCAACAAGCTTGATGAATTTTTTTTAAATAATAGTAATAACCGAAAACTGTACTTCTGCAACATTACATTAGGTTGTTTAATCATTCGTTGGTATTGAGTGTATGTGCGTGTGTGTGTTTGTTTGCTTGCATGCATGCATGTCTGTGGCATGCACATGTGTGTGTACCCACACAAATATTGTATTATGTTATATGTGAAAGTTTTTCTTGTTTTTTTTTTTCATTTATATTTAACATTGTTGAATTGTTAAAAGTTTAAATACTGAAATCACCATGAAAATTATTATGTATTTGTTATTTACTTATGAAAAGAAAATATGTTATAATGTAAGAATTTCTAGGTGCCTGTGGATCGGTGGTACACTCAGAAAAATTAAAATTGAACACAAATATATTAACTAAGCTGAAAATAACTTCAACCTCTGACACAATACATGTTATTATTTTAGTCGGTTGTAATTTTTTTATATATATTTGTATATTTAATAACATTCAAAATGAAGTTCGAGATTGCAATTGTGTTCAGTTGTTCAAAGTGATTTTCAGAATAAAATAAAATAACATTTTTATAATTTTTTTAGTCGACTCGCGACAATTGTAAGCAGAAAAATGAATACCCTGTATAAATTATAATTTAAAAATTTGTAAAAATATCTAAAAACTTACGACTAGTTTAAATATAACTGCAAATATTCCCACTGCCTAGGTGAATCTCACGTAAATCGTATGATACAACGAAAACAAAACTGATGTGCTATTTAGTTGTAATAAACAATCAATCCTAAGTCCTAAGTGAATTGAAATTTTTCTTGACATTCATTATCCCACCAAAACAGTCGAAGTTAAAAACTGAAACTATTTATAAATTAACACTTGTTTATTGATTTATATGCAGAGTTCATCAGGTTGAGAATGAAGCTCATTGAAAAAAAATGTATATTACAAATGTTAAACGGGGTGTTAAGAGGTTTATACTCAACTTGCTGGGTGTATTAATTGTTTGCAGAGCATTTGTGAATTATTTTATGTAGTTATTTTTAAGAAAAATGTAGACATAACTTTTCAAAAAAACAAACAAACTATATTTTGTTCAAGATAACAAGATAGCTGTAAACTAAAAATATGGACATTAATAGTAAAGCTATAGTATATTATAATATAATGTAATTAGTTGGATTATTGATAATGTAAAATGTTTGCCTTGATATTAAGCAGATGCTAAATTATGAGTTGACACACGGAGTATTATTAAATATTTATCCCCCTTATTGTAATGAACACTCAGTTCGTAAAAAGCTCAAAGCTCACTCGTGCAAAATTGGCCTAAGGTGCATTTCACGGCCAAGTGTGCAGAAAATATGTCTTATACATCAGAAACTAGTCACTATCTTAAAAGTTGTTTTTTTATTTGTTTAATTAAATCTTGTACTAGCACAGTTTTTTAAAAAACATTTACATGACATATTTACTGCACTATTTGCCAGTGTAAATATAGCTAGATTGAATTTGTTTTACATAATTTATAATAAAAAAAATGAGTTAAATTAAAGATGACTCAAATGAACTGTGATAACTGGTTTCTCTGGTTTTTCTTAGAAATCCATATTATTTTGATTTATATTCGCATTAAAAGTGTAGTACTTAATCAAAAGGGCAAATATTTTTTTACTTACAAAAGTGAAATAAGTAATTTTTGTCTACCAAGTTATTTACAATTTTACTAAAAATTAGTTTGCTGTGTTTTATTAATATTGTTTTTGCTGTAAGCTATATATAGTTGATTTTACTTAATTTCTTCTTTTTTTATTGTATAGTGTGTTCCTACAATTATGCTTTAATCAATGTGTAAAGAAAAGTATATTGGTAAAGATTAATTAATTTTGTACATTACTGTTGAAATAGAAAGTGGTATTGTTTTATACATAAGACATTATTTTACACTAATTTTTGTCAATTCTTTAGTTTATTGTTAGTATTTTTTTTCTATTTCAAAATATTAAATAAATCTTTTCAATTTTACTTATAATGTTCATTTCTGCCTTATTGACTGTCAAACTGCCCCAGGGTAGTCAATATTCCTTGGGGTTATTTGGGTAGAGGTCCCTCCATTCACGTTAATAAATTACATTCACACTGCCCCAGAGAACTTGATGATATTCCTTACGTTTATTAGGGTTCCCTCATTGGAACACTGACAACAGCAAGGGCACTCGCAGTATTAACTTCTACCCTCGCCTTCTCAACACTTGGCTACTGGCTAACTGCTGCACCAATCGTCCAGTCCCTTCAACCGTTGCAGGGTCAACCAGCTCATTTCCTTGGCCTCCGACTTCAGCCAATGGCTCTCTTGGTCACGGACCTGTACCAACAGCTCACATAGTCCCGGCCTCAACCTTCAGCTCAATACACATCCCAACACACCAGCCCTTGTTGACCTGGTGTAGTCGGCTTGTCCAGGTAGATACTACATAGTGAGAGCTCGTCAGGTAGATGAGTCTCCCTTGTAATAGTGAATGTTGAGATCTTGTTGGGGAGACGAGTCTAAAGTCAGTAGGGCAGTGCCCCTGCTTATATACAGGATGGCACTACTCTGATTGGCTACAGTGGAGGGTGAGGCCATTCCAGAACTGGCGGTGTGACCTAGCAGGTAACTGCAGGTGGTCACTTCATATCCTAAAAAACACATTCGTACTGCCCTAGAGAGTTCGATGATATTGGAGTTATTGGAGTAGCCCCTCCATTCACCCTAATAAATTACATTTACAGTACCCCAGAGTACTCAATGTCCATGGAATAATATCGGAGAAGCACCTTCATTCTCACTAACAAATTACATTCACACCTCTCCTGAGTATTCAATGTTCATCTGTGTTTCTTTTTTCACACTAATAAATTATACTTACTGAGTACATTGATACACATAAGAACTATTTCTCATTCACCCTTGTCATTCAAACTAATAAATACGGAGATACTAATAGATACCAGAATATTAACCAGGGATCAAAGGTTCTGGCCTCATTATTCTCACTAATAAATACATTCATTCCAATAAATAACATAGGCAAGCATAAACATGCAAAGATCTATACAGTTGAAAAAATTATTATTATTATTATTGTTGTCCTGGGGTGTCAGCAATAACCCTAAAGTGGTGCATGTTAGGGGGTAATCTACGTGTGACCTATGTGCAACCTGGTATATTTTCCCTTCAGTTCCTTTCAGTCATTCATGTTTTTCTTTAGGATATTTTCCTAAGTTCATGAAAAGCTGTAGAAAAATTGTACTCAAGAGCCAAAAATAGATACTACCCAAGACAAAACTCAAAATAAGCAGATCCTTTATAATTGTTACTAAAATTTTATAAAAGAATAGATTTTAATATCAAGAACATTTATATAAGTGATAAATATTTTCAAAAATTACTACTAAATACTCACGAATTTTGACTGATAATGAGATAGAATTTATTGGATTATTTGTTTACTAAGTTCCTCGTAAACAAGGTTATAACATTGAAAGAACCCATTTGGAAGTACGTTAGGTTCTTGATTTTAAATGGTGGCGACCTGAGTTGTGTTAACCTGTGTGGCCACCGATGATTACTAAACATTTCAAATTACAAAACAGAAACATAAATAAGTGCTAGTTGTATATTTCCTTTTATAATCTTTAATAACAGGTACATATATGATTTTGTATTATTAACTGAAATAGTGTGAATGAATAATAGTATTTATTTACATGGAATGCAACAAACTCAAAATATGTTACAAAATACTTTACAGCATGGACAACAGTCCGTCAGCCGGAGTTGATGTGAGCAAACACAGAATAATAATAATAAAAATCCATGAAATAATTAAATTAAATTAATCTATGAACATACTATAAAATACTGCGATTAAATTAAACAAAATTTAAAAAAATAAATAAATGAATAAATCAAAAATAATAAAAATAAAGCAATACTAGAGAAGAAAATCGAAGAAATAGTAATAATAAAAGCTAACCAAATAAAGAGATATTGTAAAACATTAATAATTAAAGTGTTGGACTAGCTCGAATCTGTAAGTCCAGGCATGGCGAGCAAATCTGATGAGAGGACGACACAGACGGCCATCATTTAACATTGCTATGAGTGCGGGTTTGGTCAGCCTCGCCAGGCCAACGTGCAGGTCGCGAATCTCTGCCAGAATCGAACATTCGGCGACAAAATGAAATGTGTTTTCCACCGATCTGGAATTACATAGAACTACTTTTTCCATCCATGGAGTGTAATTTAAGAATACCAACTCGCACCTCAATTTAAATAGCCAGCAGAGCTCTCTAAGCGATAGACCACACGACTGGTCCGCAATCAGGCTGCATAAGCCAGCACAATGATCAAGTTCCGGATATAATGTAAAGCGGGACGGGACTACAGCTTTTTTCTGAAGCTCCTCATGGTGTGATTTCATTTTACTCAATAAGGTGGCCAACTGGCCACTCCATAATGACATGTCTTCCACAGTCAATTCACAATCACATCTCTGAGCCAGATCAATCCAATTCCTAAACCAGAAAGTTTTGGTTTTTATTATTTCCAAGGCAGAGATTCTTGGCAATCTATGAGGAGGTAACCTCAACATCCTTAGGCAGTAATCAAAGTGTAACTTCAAGGTGAACACTTCAAGTAGATCGACCTCCGTTTCGAGATAAACCATATGGTTTGGAGCTACCGATGGAATACCAAATAATTTTTTAATAAAAAAAACGCTGGAATTTCTCAATAACTTCGAATCGTCACGAACCTCAAGCCTGAGCTCCATAACCGACTACGTAAAGACAAACAGACTTAAAGAGACCGAACTTAAATGGAAGAGGCACTAGTTCCTGGGAAAGGAAAGCAGGCCAAACTGAAATAGTGTGTAATTCAACATTAATTTTATTTTTAACATTATTTCCTTTTTACAATAAATACAAATCACTAACAATATCAGTAAATGTTCAATCCCACTGCCACGGTTGCCCTGGAGTTTTCAAAACTTGTCCGACTTCTTTGCTTCCACCACTACAAAAATATTATTACTTTTTTTTAAGAAAATTAATTTATTAAAATCAGTATTATTTTCTTATATTGCCCTGTTGTACTTTACCTTGAACCAGCGATTTGTTTTATTGATGGTCCATCGGATAAAGTCAACGGTGGAACTACTTCTCTTCTGACATCCCTTGCACAGTAATAATTATCTGATAACTTGTGAGCTGGTCCTTCAGGAAGCACTGGAGGAGGCTGAGTTCTTGGAGCGTAGTAATCACCATATCTAAGAGGATTAGTATGCTTTCTCTAGAAAAAAAATTATATAAAGAAATGCTAACCTTTTTTTTACAACTGCATACAAAAAGCATAAAATACACAGATACAAGCACACATGCGATATTATTCTCAAAAGCAAACGCAAAGACGAAGCATCCAACCTCGTCACTGAGCTAAGGAAAATGAAGTTGCTTTTATTAATGGCCTTCTGAACTGGTATACTAGATCTAAGAATGAGTTGCCCTATTTACCAATGATACCTAATATTGCTAGTGTCTCACATAAAGATAAAGAAAACACTAAGGGTTTGTAATTTGAATATGTGTAAAAAATGACTATCAATCAAGGACCTGTATATCTGACCAACCACATAGGACAGTTACAAAATACACTGACACTGATTTTTTTTCCATTTTCTCGATAAAAGAAAATTCTGCCCTTAATTTGTCTCATTGTTTTTACCAATAAATATTCGTTTATGCTGTTTTAAATTGGGAATTAGAGGTAAACACACTTAATCCTTAATCCAAAACAAGGATAACGGATTTTTCAATGTTTACTTTTTACGGAATTTAAAATGTTTATTCAGTCTCATTAGAATTCTGAGGCAACAAACTGTTTAGTTTTCATCTTTGTTTTCATGATTTCAATTTTTAAACTTAACAATGCCACTTAGTATTGAGGATGTTGTGCGTGGTGTGGCACTTTTTGGTGATGGACATTCCCTACGAAACTCTGCAAGACGCCGTCAGACGTTTTCGATTAACTGGGTCCTACCATAGAAGGCCCGGTTCTGGACGCCCTAAGGTAACAGAACCAGAGGTTGACCGTTTTTTTGCCTTTGAGAATTTTGCGAAACCAACACCTTATTGTTGTTCAAGCGATTCATCAAAAAGTTCAAAGTGTCCAAATTTCGAACGCACTGCTCGAAGAAGATTAAATCAGTATGGACCCATTTACTCGAGACCACATCCATTGGTCTTTGACGATTGGTCTGCTGTACTTTTTACAGATGAGTGTGAGAGAGTGTGGAGAAGACAAAATGAAAGGTACAAAGCCTGTAATTGTTCCCAGAGCAAACGTTTTCAAGCTCAGTGGTGATGTGGGCAGGAATTTCAATGTTGAATCGTGTAGAGTTGATTGTTGTTTGTGAAAGGTCTTTCACAGCCAGTCACTATGTGGATGAAATTTTGGAAAATGGTGCGTTGCTTATCTTCGATGAAATCAGTGACAATCCTGTTCTAATGCACGATAATGCCCGACCACATGTCGCTTGCATAGTACAAACGTACCTTAAAACCAGGGTCTTAGCTTGGCCCACTCTCCAGACTTGAACCCCATCGAACATTTGTGGGATAACCACAAAAGACGACTAAGAGCACGTACATCTAAAGGGCTCTTCGTGAAGAATGGGCTAACCTCCAGCAAAGAGACATTTCCAGTTTGGTAGAATGTATGTCGAGGCGTCTGCGCAATATTGAAATGTTAATTAAAAATCTGAAATAAAATTAAAACGAATTCTATCTGTACTTTTTTTTTCTTAAAGGGAAAACAAGGAGGCTCCAGGTCCAGACAGGATTCCTAACATGTTAATGAAGAACGTCTTTAGAAAAGCCATAATATTATTAATGCACCTTTTATATGATATGATAAGATTGTATAAAAGGTGCATTATTCAAAAAAGCGGAAAGTCTTAAAGCTAATAAAAAAGCCGCGCAAAGTTCATGATAAGCCAAAAAGCTGTAGGTCTACTTGGCTGTGCTATAGCACTATAGTGTCTAGTCAGCTAAAATCAGTAATCTCCGACAGATAGCTGACAGAATTTTATCTTAAATTTGGTACTGTTCAGGAATGCTTTTAGGCAGATATCAATTGTCAGCAAGCTGATTATCACAGATGTACTCGGTATCTTTCAAATAACAGATTGACTCTAGCTCTTTTTTTATTGAAATTGACTGTTTTGTCCTTCTAACTCACTTGACATTTTTTTACCAAAGTTGAAAATATTTCGTCTGTCACTTACCCCAAGAAGAAAATTTCTGAACATATCAACGAGCGGTGTAACTTTCCTTAATTCGCCTTTCCCCATGTTGTTAATATTTTTTAAAACTATTTATTATTAAATATAAACAGAGTACAATAAAATTAAGTTGAAAAGAACAAAAGAAACCGTCTTAGGCCTTCTCTAGTCTTTACTGTGATGAAGAAAAATATGTGATGATCTCGAGTCTAGGATTCTAGAAAGCTATGACGTAAAACACGGAGCTATGACGTTTACAAAATTTGAATTTTTGATTTTAAAAAAACTTGAAATGCTTAAATAGTGTTATAAAAACGCATTGATAGAGTTTATGAAAAACCATTTATTAAGTAAAAATGATAACTTTTTAACTGCACATTCAATATCCACATCCAACATACTCAAAACGCCAACGTTGAAATTAAATGTCCCATTTGAAATGATAAAAGTTATGTTTAAATCAGAATAGGAAACAAAAAGTTTCCCAGGCTTTACTAGACAGATTCATCCTGTAAATTGAACTACACCCTGGACCACATTGCCTAGTCAGTATCGCAAGTCATGAAGATGGCCCATATAGTTGTCTGCTGTAAATCCTGCAAATTATTTATAAAACAACTCTTTACAGAATCACAAATTGCTGAAGACTTAGATGATAGTATTAAGTTAGATAAAATCTTAAATCCTAAAAATGAGGTAAATATATTGAAAATGTATTATTTCTTAAAGAAAGGATTCTTCTTGCAGAAGATATTTTTTTAAAAATTGAAGAAAATGACAATAAAATTAGAAATCCTAATTAAACTTTAATTTATGTTGTTAAGTGATTCTCTACAAATTTTTTCTGCAAAATTGTTTTACTTTTGCTATTAGTTTTATAAGATATCATTTGTCTAAAGCATAATGTATATATATATATTCTCTCTCTCTCTCACTCTCACTTTCTCTCT